AAAAGCTTCAACTCTTAGAACCCTTAAACCTCATCTAACCCTCAAACCTCAACTCTTGGCCTAATCTCAACAGCTCAAACCCCAACTCCCAAAAACATCAACTCTTAGAACCCTCAAACCTCAACTCCTCTCAATCGAGCCCTCAAACCTCAACTCCTGGAAGCCTCAACTCTTAGAACCCTCAAGCCTTCCTCTCAATCTAACCCTCAAACCTCAACTCCTAGAAGCCTCAACTCTGAGAATCCTCAAACCTCAACCCCTCCTAATCTCAACACCTCACACCTCAACCCCTCTCAAACCTCAACTCCTGGAAGCCTCAACTCTTTGAAACTTCAACTCCTCCTAATCATTTTCCCCAAACCTCCACTCCTAAAAGCCTCAACTCTTAGAACCCTCAAACCTCAACTCCTAAAAGCCTCAGCTCTTAAGACCCTCAAACCTCAACTCTTGGAACCCCCAAACCTCAACTCCTCCTACCCCCAGCCTCCAAGCATGAACTCCCAACAACCCTCAGCCTTCAAACCTGAACTCAAAGCATCTCCTTTGCCAAGGCTCCAATCCACCGTGCTCTTGAGGTTGATCGTGTCCTCCTCTGCCCTCTCCTCCACCTTCTTCTTCTTACTCTCCTCCACCATCTTGCCATGCAGGTGGCCGATCCTTGGCTGCCACAGCAAACCCTGCACCTCAACCCTTACAACCCTTAGCACCCTCAAGCCTCACTGACCCTCTCCTTTCAGGGCAAAAAAACAGCCTATAAGTCACTGCCCCGCCCTTCAAATAACAAACCCTAACTACCCTCCCCTACCCCAATTGCAAGCCAAAGCTGCAGCACCCCCACCGCCAGCGTGCCCATCACCAGCACCACCTTGTTCCAATCCTGCCACAGGCACTCCCTCCCTGTCACTTGAAAACCCACCCCTTCAAACCCCCACTCTCTCTCTCTCTCTCTCTCTCTCTCTCTCTGCCATTCACCCTGCAACCAAGGCACATCATGGTGCCTGACCTCTCCTCACCTTGCCTGATCACCTCACCTCACCTCACCTGCTTGAGTGGCTGAAATGGCCAGCGGTGTTGGGACCTGACTTTTTCCCCCAAATTCTTTGATTTGGAAACCCCCTATTAATCAACCATAAGAAAGGCCCCCCGTGGTTGCTTTAAATCCTGACCTTCCCACAAGGTTACCTGACATGACTTTCCCACAAGCTACCTTCAAGCCCCTGATGAACAATTCTTAGATTTGGCACCCTCTGTTAATCAACCATAGCCTTCAATATAATTCTCTGATTTGCTATAAATCCTGGCCTTCCCAGAAGGCTTTCCTGGCCTGACTTTTTCACAAGCTACCTTCAAGCCCCCAAATTCTTAGATTTGGCACCCCCTATTAATCAACCATAGAAAGGCCCCCCTGGTTGCTTTAAATGCTGACCTTCCCACAAGGATACCTGACATGACTTTCTCACAAGCTACCTTCAAGCCCCCTAATTATTGATCAACAGTTCTTAGATTTGACACCCCTATTAATCAACCATAGCCTTCAAAAGAATTCTCTGATTGCTTTAAAGCCTGACCTTCCCACAAGGTTCCCTGACCTGACTTTTTCACAAGCTGCATTCAAGCCCCCTAATAGCTGATCAACAGTTCTGTGATTTGGCACCCCTATTAATCAACCATGGAATGGCTCCCCTGGTTGCTTTAAATCCTGACCTTCCCACAAGTTACCTCTTTCTCACAAGCTACCTTCAAGCCCCCTAATTATTGATCAACATTTCTTAGATTTGGCACCCCCTATTAATCAACCATAGGTTTCACAAGCTACCTTCAAGCCCCCAAATTCTTTGATTTGGCCCCCCCCTATTAATCAACCATAGAAAGGCCCCTCTGATTGCGTTTCATCCTGACCTTCCCACAAGGTTCTCTAACCTGACCTTTCCACAAAGTTCCCTGACCTGACTTTTTCACAAGCTGCCTTCAAGCCCCCTAATTACTGATCAACAATTCTTAGATTTGGCACCCCTGTGTCAAAGGACTTGTACGTTTGCTTTCGTCACGACCTTCCCACAAGATTCCTCTTTCTCCCCAAGCTACCTTCAAGCCCCCTGGTGACAGATCCAACAGTTCTTCGTTTGCCCCTATTAATCAACCATGGCCTTAGGATTGTACGGTTGCTTTAAAGCTGACCTTTCCTAAGGATTCCCTAGCAAACCTTCTTTACAAACCACGGGATCCTGGCCACAGCCTTCCCACAAGGTTCCTGACCTGACTTTTCACAAGCTACGGCTCAGACACCGTTGCTGGATTGCTTTCTGATCAGCCAAGGATACAACACGATTTGGCACAGATGCTGACCTTCCCACAAGGTTCCCTCACCTGAACTTCCCACAAGGTTCCCACAAGGTTCCCTGGTCTGACCTTCCTACAAGGTTCCCTGACCTGACTTTTTCACAAGCTACCTTCAAGCTCCCTACTTATTCATCAACAATTCTTAGATTTGGCACCCCCTGTTAATCAACCATGTTCTCCAACAGCCTCCAAAAACCCCTCTGGCCTCAAAAGTCATGACCTTCCCACTCACCTGACCTTCAAGCCCCCCAAATTCTTCTGGCACCCCCTATTAATCAACCAGAGAACTACAACTCTGCTTGCTTTACATGCTGACCTTCCCACAAGTTTCCCTCACCTGACCTTCCCACAAGGTTCCCACAACCACAAGGTTCCCTGACCTGACCTTCCTGCAAGGTTCCCTGACCTGACTTAAGCTGCAGCTGGCTCCCTCAATTTGCTCATCAACAATTCTTAGATTTGGCACCCCCTGTTAATCAACAATGTTCTCCAACAGCCTCCAAAACCCCTCTGGCCTCACAAGTCATGACCTTCCCACTCACCTGACCTTCAAGCCCCCCAAATTCTTCTGGCACCCCCTATTAATCAACCAGAGAACTACAACTCTGCTTGCTTTACATGCTGACCTTCCCACAAGTTTCCCTCACCTGACCTTCCCACAAGGTTCCCACAAGGTTCCCTGACCTGACCTTCCTACAAGGTTCCCTGACCTGACTTTTTCACAAGCTACCTTCAAGCTCCCTAATTACTCATCAAAATTCTTATAGATTTGGCACCCCCTATTAATCAACCATGTTCTCCAAAAGCCTTCAAAAGACCCTCCCACAAGGTTCCCTCACTTGACCTTCCCACAAGGTTCCCTCACCTGACCTTCCCACAAGGTTCCCTCATCTTCCCACAAGGTTCCCCCACTTGACCTTCCCACAAGGTCCTGACCTTCCAACAAGGTTCCCTCACCTGACCTTCCCACAAGGTCCTGACCTTCCCACAAGGTTCCCTCACCTGACCTTCCCACAAGGTTCCCTCACCTGACCTTCCCACAAGGTCCTGACCTTCCCACAAGGTTCCCCCACCTGACCTTCCCACAAGGTTCCCTCACCTGACCTTCCCACAAGGTTCCCTCACCTCACCTTGGTCCTGACCTTCCCACAAGGTTCCCTCACCAAATTTTTTGACAAGGTCCTGACCTTCCCACAAGGTTCCCCCACCTAACCTTCCCACAAGGTCCTGACCTTCCCACAAGGTTCCCCCACCTGACCTTCCCAGACCTTCCCACAAGGTTCCCTCACCTGACCTTCCCACAAGATCTGACCTTCCCACAAAGGTTCCCTGCACTGACCTTCCCACAAAGGTTCCCCCACCTGACCTTCCCACAAGGTCATGACCTTCCCACAGAGTTCCCCCTGACAGCACCCACAGTTCCCACAACCACAAGGTTCCCTGACCTGACCTTTGCCACGAGTTCCACAGCCTGACTTTCACAAGCTTACCTTTCCAAGACCACCGTTCTTTAAGTTTGTACCCCCAAATTAATCAACCAAGGATACAACTCTTAGCTGGCACACAGATGCTTTTACCCGTGATGGTTCCTCACCTGACCTTCCCACAAGGTTCCCACAAGGTTCCCTGTTCTGACCTTCCTGCAAGGTTCCCTGACCTGACTTTTTCACAAGCTACCTTCAAGCTCCCTAATTACTCATCAAAATTCTTAAAATTTGGCACCCCCTATTAATCAACCATGTTCTCCAACAGCCTCCAAAAACCCCTCTGGCCTCAAAAGTCATGACCTTCCCACTCACCTGACCTTCAAGCCCCCCAAATTCTTCTGGCACCCCCTATTAATCAACCAGAGAACTACAACTCTGCTTGCTTTACATGCTGACCTTCCCACAAGTTTCCCTCACCTGACCTTCCCACAAGGTTCCCACAACCACAAGGTGACCTGACTTTTTCACAAGCTACCTTCAAGCTCCCTAATTACTCATCAAAATTCTTAAAATTTGGCACCCCCTATTAATCAACCATGTTCTCCAAAAGCCTTCAAAAGACCCCTCTGATTGCTTTAAATCCATTCTATAGGTTCCCTGGCCTCACAAGTCATGACCTTCCCACAAGGTTTCCTCACTTGACCTTCCCACAAGGTTCCCTCACCTGACCTTCCCACAAGGTGCCCTCACCTGACCTTCCCACAAGGTTCCCTCACCTGACCTTCCCTCAAGGTTCCCCACAAGGTCCTGACCTTCCCACAAGGTCCTGACAGCACCTCACAAGGTTTCCCCACCTGACCTTCCCACAAGGTTCCCACTCCTGACCTTCCCACCAAGGTTCCCTCACACTCACCTTGGTCTGACACTCCCACAAGGTTCCCTCCACCAAATTGCACGACAAGGTCCTGACCTTCCCACAAAGGTTCCCCCACCTAACCTTCCCACAAGGTCCTGACAGCACCCACAAGGTTCCCCACTGACCTTCCCAGACCTTCCCACAAGGTTCCCTCACCTGACCTTCCCACAAGGTTCCCTCACTTGACCTTCCCACAAGGTCCTGACCTTCCCACAAGGTTCCCCACAAGGGACATTCCACAAGGTCACTGACCTTCCCACAAAGGTTCCCCCACACTGACCTTCCCCACAAGGTCCTGACCTTCCCACAAGGTTCCCTCACCTGACCTTCCCACAAGGTCCTGACCTTCCCACAAGGTTCCCTCACCTGACCTTCCCACAAGGTTTTTCCACCTGACCTTGTCCTGACCTTCCCACAAGGTTCCCCCACCTGACCTTCCCACAAGGTCCTGACCTTCCCACAAGGTCCTGACCTTCCACAAGGTTCCCTCACCTGACCTTCCCACAAGGTCCTGACCTTCCCACAAGGTTCCCTCACCTGACCTTCCCACAAGGTTCCCTCACCTGACCTTCCCACAAGGTTCCCCCACCTGACCTTCCCACAAGGTCCTGACCTTCCCACAAGGTTCCCTCACCTGACCTTCCCACAAGGTCCTGACCTTCCCACAAGGTTCCCTCACCTGACCTTCCCACAAGGTTCCCTGACCTAACCTTCCCACAAGGTTCCCCTTCCCACTATTGGGGGGGCGCCCTCAAAAAAATGACAGACCTGACCTTGTGACCTTGAGGGGGGGGGGGGGGAGGGGGGGCCGGTTTATTAATCCGGGGTCTGCATTATGAGTTTTTGCCGACGAACTTACCTTTGCGCGCCATCAGCAAAGCGCGTCAAATCGCAAAATGGCAACCCTTTTACCCCTCCCCCTTTGAAGAATCGGGCTGGACTTTGTGGATACCTCTTAGGCAGGTGCTTAACCTGGTTGACGTTGTTGGAAGGGGAGCTACAATTTAAAATTTAGCAGTTCGGATTTCAACCACTCAACCACAAGAAGCAAACAAACAGAAAACACAAAAAAAAAAACTTTCCCAAGAACAACCATGAAATTAGTCGGGTTCTGGGCTGCTCGCTCGCCTCACCGACTTAGGGGTCCGAGGTCCATCTCGAAAAACTCCTCCGCGGGAGCGGATCCGAACAATTCCAGGGGTTGATTCCTTTTCCATTCTTTTCAAACCCAGTTTATGAATATAGGGGGTGTTGTTTTTCTTCACAATTAAGTGATGATTTTCCAGTAAACCCAGGGACACCCCCCTATAGTAATAAACCGCGGTTGATTAATACCTAGATAGCCAAGCGATCGCTTTGTTCAGTCACTGTGGCGATCGGTTTTGGGGGTAAAGTGCATGGACAAAAACGATCGCAACTGGCGATCCAGGATCGTGCTTGTCAAAAACCGGATCCGTTTTCCCCGGGTCTCCGGAGGTTTTCTAGAAAGATTCGGATCCCTGGAAAGAATGGGGAAGGTATCCCTAGAACAAAGGATGGCTCGATTTGTTTGAAATACCAAATCGTGGTGGTCCTTTTTGCTTCCCTTTAGAGCCCACCAAACAAGAATTTCCCCCGAGAAAAAACAATAACAACAAACAAATAGATGTCCAATCCTGTCCTGTTGTTGTTGGTGTCTCTTCCCATTTACCCAGCGGAAACAAGAAAACCAAGCCAAGCGAAACCAAGCGAAACCAAGGGAAACCAAAGGAAACCAAGGGACATCGCCCCAAGAAAAAGGTCCCCAAAGCGAAAGGGAGCAATGTCCACGTCCGACAGGTCCTGTTGTTGGTATCTCTTCCCATGTACCGAGTGGAAAGAAGGGAAGCCAAGGGGCACCAAGGAAAACCAAGGAAAACCAAAAAAAAACCGGAAAACCAAGGGAAACCAAGGAAAACCAAGGAACACCAATAAAAAAAAACAAGAAGATCGCCCCAACAAACAGGTTCCCCAAAGTGGCAACGGGACAAACGTCCACGGTCCCGTCCCAAACCGGTCCGGTTGTTGGTGTCTTTCAGGAGCTTCACCCCCTCGATCTTGCACCCCACCAAGGTGGAGTTGTCCACGAAGCACCAGCTCTGGCCCTCGGCTTGAGGAAAAAGAACGTCTGCTAAAAACCGCGGATGGGAGGGTGTCCCCGCAAACAAACAACGTAAAAAACGCCCGCAAGTCAGACAAAGCCACAGTTTCCCATGAAAACTCCCGCGATCAGGCAAAGTCGATTCTTCTTGTAATGATCAAGGCATCCCATGGTGCTTCACTGGCACATTGGCAAGTGCTGCGATGTTCTTTGGTTGCGATCACTCGTTTTTATGTTGGTATTTTGAGGGTCCAGGCACTGCTCGGATTAACATGGAACCCAACCATCATTTGAGGAACCTCCCTTTTCCCAAAAACGGATGAAAGGTCACCTAGCTGGGGGACCTGGACAAAAAGACATCGCGACATTTAATCATGAAGCCGCCAGCCCGAGCAGTGGACCTTTGAATCCCAACCCAAAGCTCTCACGAGGATTGGCCAAACGAGGTCTTACCAATATGTGCGGCTTCCCTTTAGTCTCCCCTTTCCACAAATCTGGGTGAATTATAATTAAGATAATGTTTCACCAGCCTGAAATTCGGTGGTTGGGGGGCCATTCCCCACATACACCACCATTTGGGGTGAGGTCGTGTGAGGCCGGTATAATTCACCCAGACAAATTAGAGGTACCTGGATCCGCAAGAACTACTTCAACTTAGGCAAGGGACTTCACCCATAGTTTTGGGCTGTATCCCATGTTCAAGAGTATGCTTTGAGGGTCCAAAAGAGACAACCTGGACCGAGCCTCAAAATACCAACTAAGAAATGAGTGAGTTGCGACAAAACATCGCGATGGGTTAATTCCCTGAAGGGAAGTTTGAGGGGCCTGGTACACTGTCGTTGTTCCAACAAGCAGGAATTGCACAAACTCACGGGGTGAGAAAGGTCTAGCTGCAGCCTCCCCCTTCTCTTCAAGGATGCTTCTCCTCCAAACTAAGAACATATTTCCAGTACAAACAGATGCCAAGAGGGGAACATAATATATCTTCATCTGAGCAACTAGGTCCTCTAGTAGAGAGGTTAGAATAAGGATACCATTTTTTCTGTAGTCTGTTTTAGTTGAGAACCCTTCCTTAGATAGGTGTAAAAGGCCACTACTGGGGGACCTAGTAGTAGATTACACCTCGCTGACCACCAACTTGGCGAATCGAGATCATCCAAGGTCGGATTCATCCGAACCCCACTCAGGGCCCAGTAAAACAATGGGTTTTGATTGTGGCTCATCTCAGCACATGAAAGGAATGGCTCCAATGCAGAGAAATGGCCATGCCTCACGGTGCCGGACCGCATCTCAGGCGCGCACCGCCTCGCTCCGGCGGCAGCTGTCTTCGTCAGCACAGCGACACACGTCCTGAGGCCGCGGTTTGGGTCCTTGACCCTGAAAACTCACTCAAATCGGTGAGTGCAACCCAAAATCCTGGGGGTGAGATCCCTTTTTAAAGGGTAGTTTGAGGGTGGCCTCCTCAAAATGGGTGGGGTGAAGAAAAAGACTCTGCCAAGGCTTCCTGGACCCTGAAAATACCAACATGAGCTTGGGATACAGCCCAACACCACCGTATGCTTGGTGAATTTCCTTGTTCGACTCTAGCTGTTTGTAAGGCCGGGAAAATATCCCTATGCTCTTGTAAACAAATACGGGCTGAACTCGGTTCTTTTTTTAAAGGGTAGTTTGAGGGTCCAGGTTCCTGTTAACCTCACTTTAACCAGCTAGGAACTGAGACTAGATTTCTTCCAAAACTAACTTCTCATTGAGGGGATTGCCAAACAAAGGCAACCACACTTCTTATGTACGGCCAAAATGGTCCAAACTCAAAACGTGACCCACTCGTCCGAAACGGAACTCGATCGGGATTGAGTTTCATGAGTGTAGCTACGGGCGTGGAAGCGGTTTCAAGTTTCCTTGTGGTCTGATCCTCAGCCGAGAACCCCCCGAAACAGAACTCAATTGGAACCAACTTGGCGAATCGAACATTCAAGTGAAGAACGGGACTGGATCATTTTGGGGCTTGAGGGTCCAGGAAACCAAAAAGGGGAAGCCAAAAGGCCATTTCAGGTCGATTCGCTTTGGTCGGAAGGACAATCTCCAGCCTGATGGAACTCCTTGAGCAAAAGCATGCCTGGCACGGTATGATCGTTCTAGAGCGCTCCTGAAACCCTTCTCACCCATCCGTCATGCCAGGAAGGCTGCCTTGCTTGCTGGTGCCCAAACAAAGTATAGTTCTGAATTCCGCAAAGGAACGACCTCAGAAGTGGAATGTCAAAGTCAGAGGGGCCAGGTTGAAACCTGCGGATCAGGCAGACCGCCAAACGTGGTGTTCGTTTTTTTGATTTTCCAACCCCAAAAGGGTACAGGGACGCGAAATAAATACAACTTTACGCAAAGGGAGAAAAACAAACATCATGTTGGGGTAACGTTTTGTTCTTTTCTATTACCAGCATCACCAGCATCACTTGGACCCGGGGTTGCCAATTGGCTCTGATTGGGTGGCAGTTGGGAGTTGCTGGGGGCTGGTTTAAGTTAGGGGGGCTTTTGGCTGGCTTAGATCTTTATGAGGGTGGGTCTTGGGGTGGTTTGGGGTTTTAAGGGGAGTTTGAGGGTGCAGGAAGATTCACTGTGTTGAGTAACACCCCCACCCTTCCAATGGTATTTTGGGCTTCGTTTACCCCATTATCATCCCCTTTAATTGCAGTAGATGACAGAAAATATATCCTATGGACCTTTCGGGCATCACGACAAGGACGCCCACACTCTCAATGAGCAAAAAAGGGTGAGTCATCATCAAAACCCAGCATTCAAACAATCTACCCTGAACCATTCTAGGCCCTCCAGTAGAGAGGTTAGAATAAGGGTACCCTTTTTTCTGTAGTTCATTTTAGTAGGGGAAACCCTCGGGTAAAAGGGCACTACCGGGGGACCTAGCCATGTAAGACATTAGAACAGCGGATATCCGCACCCATTGGCAAGGGGGTGTGTCCCTTACTAACCTTCTTCTACCCACGATTTGAGGGAAGTGGATCAGGACCTGCAACCCATTGGAAAGAGGGGGTTACTCAACACGACAAATATTCCCGGACCTTCAAAAATTAACAGAAAAAAAGGGGTTCTCGCCCCAAATGTGTGGTTGGTGAACTCTATTTTTTGAGGGTAGTTTGAGGGTCTAGGTTGATTGTGGGTTCTACATGTATGGAAAATTGCAAAGAGGGAGCCTAGGGGACTAGGGCGCCTACGAGGTTCCGCCCCCAGTTGAGTTCGGCCGAAAGTTTTTTTGACCCAAGCCCACAAGAGCGGCGTTCAAATATCCGACACCTGCGGCTCGACGGTTTGAAAGGTTCAGATAGCAGGACCCTGAAACTACAAACCTAGACCGCCAGTTGCGATCGCTTTTTTTCCATCCACTTTACACCAAAACCAGCAACAGTGGCTGAAAAAAACGATCGCAACCTGGCCATCCAGGAACTTTGAACAGGTTTTTTGTTGCTTCCAGAATGTTGAGGTTGACATACAATTCTCCGTTTGAAGTTGGCATTTTGAGGCTCTTGGCGGGCCTTGCAGAACTCGTGAATCGTACACTCCCATCGCATGGCGGCTCCCTCCAAAGGGGTGGAGCTTCCATGTTCGCCTGGGGCAGGGCAGGGGCCTTTTGGTGTAAATGGAGCTTCTCCCATTTGGCTGTGGGTCAAAAATAGGTACCCAAAATGGCTTGCCCTGGTAAATGGAAACATGGACTAAAACCTGCGGGCCCGTGAATATTTGATTTTCACCCATACCCATTCTTCTAGTTGGGAGCTTCCGTAAAGGAACCTTTCGAACGAGTCCCTTTCGAAGCGAGGCCTTGCGACACAGGCATTTGCTCCAGCTGCTCTTGCAGTGCTCCGTAGTTGGTTTGCCGCTGCTGGGCCGCCCTCAGCTTCCGAGCAGAAAAGCGGGGAAACTGGCCCTCGCTTTTGGCCAACGGACCCCGTGTTCGGAGCGAGAAAAGCGACAAACTTTCGGTGGGTTGGACGGAAACCGCCACTAAAACAAAGAAAAGAAAAAACTCAAGATACCCCGAAAGCTTCAAATACCCCTTGCCGTGTCTTACTTGGTATTTTTTTTCGGACAGCCATCGGTTTTCTAGGGTAAATACTTCCAGTTTTAGTAAAGTGTCGAAAAGGTTGGCATTGTGCGCGGGTAAACAATGGTCTAGTTTTGAGGCTCCGCTCAACGCACTCTATTTCTCAGCTCCGATCGAGTTGATTTGCCAAAGAAAGTCACCGAACTTTTTGCTAGGTCAGTAGAGAGGATAGAATAAGGGCACCCGATTTTTTTTTCTGTAGGCTATTTTAGTAGATAGGGGAACCCTCCCCAGAAAAGGGGGCAAAAGGGCACCTAGCTGGGGGACCGAACTTTTTGCTTGCCACTGTGGTCCCACCTCTTTCGACCCAAGTCCGGCTGCCAGAACTTAGGCAGAACATGCTGAGAAAGGTTTGCCTGGACCCTCAAATACCCGTGAAAAACTGGTGATTGCAACTCAAAATTGTGGTTGATGAATTCCACAGTTTGAAGAGTAGTTCTCCTCTCACCTCCAGAGCAAACAAAACATGTTTCCAGTGACAGATCCCCTTTAAAGCCAACAGGGGGAGGTAAAACATACCTGGATAGCCAAGTTGCTGTTCTTGTTGAGTCAGTGTCAGTGTTTCATTTTTTTGTTGTTCTTAATGTTTTTTCCCGGGTAAAGTGGATGGAACAAAAAGATCGCAACTGGCGATCCATGCTTGAAACCATAGCGTTTGTTGGGTAGTTGCGTTGGGGAATCGAATTTCTGAAGGGGGTTCTGAAAGGTGGCGCGAACAATTCGGTGGAAAAATGGAAGTTGTGGGCGGACAATTCGCTGGAGCTCCAGTAGAGAGGTTAGAATAAGGCTACCAACTTTTTTCTGTATAGTCGATTTTAGTAGGGGAACCCTCCTGTCCCTTACTAACCTTCTACCCGCTGGATCAGGACCAACGCACTGGAAAAAGAGGGGGACCCAGGAAATCACCTTCTGGCGTGGGCGCTCTTCCTGACCCGCGGCTGCGCCAGTGGCCGTCCTGGTGTGGCCTGGCGGTCGCAGGTCGCCGCGAGCGAGTCGCTCGCAAGAAACGCAGGGGGGAGCTGAATGACCAGGACTCTACTTGGAGGAAACAGGCTGGCAAAAGTACTTTTTTTGCGCTTGTCTTGCTGTTTGCTAGGCTTTGATGCGTTCGAGTTGCAGTTGTGAGCAGGGCTGGGGAGGAGGGGGGGGCAAGGGGGTGGGGCATGTTACCGTCGTTATGAACGGCTTGCACGCGCACGAACGCAGGTTGATGCATGGACAATGTAGGTTGCAAATGCTGGCAAAAAGCGTCTGGAGAGCCACCATGTGCATCCCAGCAAACATGAAGTTGCCAAAGAGTCACTGTGACGAGGGGAGCACGCAAACGACCCGCTTGCTTCATAGTCGGGACTCAATGTATAGACAAATGGCATCATTGCAAGACGATATACCAGCTCAGCTGCACTCTAATGTGTTTTGCTACATGTGTTGCATTTTTTTTTAGTATCGGCTTCGAGAAGGATTTCTGCCATGCGTTGGCTGCAGTTTGTTGATTCAGATTTTCGAGCAATTGAACTGCAACTATGCAAAAAAAGTCATCGGGTTTTGCATAAAACCAATGCTGTTCTAATTCTCCCGTTCACTGCCAAGCATGAGCCAGAGATGACAAATTGCAGAAAAGCCAGGGGAAAACACGTGTGACACAGCTTTCGCCTCCAGGTTTGTTAACCGCCTGTGACCTATTTGGAGCGGCTGAGCAATCATACTGTGGAGGGACGGAATCCTGCACCAATTTGAAACCATGGGAAGCCATTGCTTGTTGGTATTTACAGGGGAATCATCATTCCAGGGTTTCTTAGGTGGTGCAGGATCTCGTCCATCCACAGCATGTTCATGCTGGGCGTTTCTTACACTGGATTTGTGTTGGCAGTAGCGGTGGCAATTAGGATCAGGGAACTGACGAATCTGCGACACAACAAAAAGGGCCTCAACACACAGACTAGCCCCCCTTAAAAAGGGCCCGATTTCCTTGGATCACATGAAGTGCGGATAAACCCCTTCATCCCACTGATCAAAATACCAACTGAAAGATCGGCTATTCCCCTAAGGGGGTGAGATCCCATGTTTTAGGGTAGTTTGAGGTTCCAAAAACATGAGAGATTGCAACCCAACAAATGTTACTTGGTAAGCAGATCACGACCTAAGGCTGCAACTGCAGTAACTGGGGTTTGCTGGCGTAGAGCTATGGGTACAACCTGAAGCGCCTTTTGGGTTGTGCGTTGGAGGGTCATGATAACTCTAGGGTGTGTTGTTCACAGTTTGGCGGAGATGCATCTCTGCCTGTGGAGATGCATCGCCGGCTCTCCACTGAAGGCATGAGGTCCAACAGCACAACCAATGGTCCCACTGTAATCCCCTTCAATTGATGGTCCGAATCCATTAAGGGCGGTGGCGAAGTTTCACGGTTGGGGGGGGGGGGGAAAATTGTGAAACAAGGAGGGCGGAATCCAGTGGTTGCACCAGTTATCTGGGTGTGTCTCAAAATAGTACCCCTCAGATGGGTTGGTGGCTACCCATCCTCCAAACCTCCACCCTCAAAGTACCTGGAGTCTCCTTCTGACCCCCAGAAAAAGGGGGCATGACCCCTTAATTTTGGGTAATGACCCCTTTTTTACAGGGTGAGGGATTTTAAAGGGTCATGGAGACTCTGGGTACTACTCAGCGAATATTGGTTCTCAAGATAGGGGACCCCTTTTTTGCGTGGTTCCGAAAGGCCCCTGTTGGATGATTCCAAAGGAAGCAGCTTACCTGCAAGGTGCCCAATTTTGCGAAACAGCCATATCGAAGCACCACATCATTAACCTAATCAGAATTGGGACCCTTTCTTGAAGGGACCTCGTTTGACTTTGGCAAAATAGGACCTCATTCAACGGACGCCTTCAACGGAGGGTCCATTGTACCATGATCAAAGTCGGCCCCAAATGTGGCAGGTTAAAGCGAAACGACCCCATGTCTGGCTGTTATAATCCCCGCAATCAAAATAGTGACCCCAGTTTGATGCTTGGGTCTCACTGGATGCGTCCATTTGCTTAAAGCCCCAGGAAAAAAGGAGAAAACCTTTCCAGTGAGAATTTCCCCTTAAAACCAAAAGGGGGAAATGATTAAAACAAATATTCATGTCAGTTATTGAAAGTAGGCAACCAGCCATGAATCACTGGCCAACTGCGCCGGCCGCGCCTTCTTCGCCATACTGCGCCGCCTCACCCCGGCGCATCAGCGCGCCCGCGCTGAGCCTGCAGGTTTCTTGACTCGTAAATTGGTTGGAGTAGGGTACCACCATGGTTCCATTTGCTTACTTCGAACTTGCTACATCCCCCTGAAGACAAGAACAAACATATTTCCAGTAGTGATAGATTCCTTTTAAAACCAACAGGAAAAATGAACCATCTTCTTCAGCAATGAAGCTGAAGTCTCGTGAAACTCTATAGCCCCTCTAGTTTCAAAACCGGCAAGGGAAGTTGATCAAAAGAAACGAAGGCTTCAATCTTTGTCGCCGGTTTCCGCCACCAGGACTCCGTGGCTATTTTTTGGCCCGAAAGGGGGGGGGGGTCTTGGGGTCCAAATTGGTCCCAAAATGTGCATGGGGGGGTCATGACTCATGACCATAGGTGTCCTTTTAGGTTGGAAATATAGATGGATATCCCTGGTAGATGAGCTTTTAAACCACCAGGTAAACCGATCGGAATCGAAACCCATCTATTCTTTCTCACCAAAACCACCAAAAAGGACACCTATGCTCATGACCCTTGCGAGTCCTTTGAGGCCCGTGGATCCTTGACGCCCTCCGCCCGACTCCCGACGCACGACCGCCTCAGCATGATGCCCTTCCCATTGGCCGGCTCCTGAGCGCATCTCTTTCCGACGAGTGTGGCAAAAAGGCGCCAGGGAAGAGCCTTGGCACCCCCATTCGACTTTTAGTTTTGTTTTTTTTGTGTGTGTGCTTAGTCGGGGGTTTCCATTCAACCCACTAAAAGTGAAGCTTTTAGCGGGGGATCTGAGGACAGCCCAGTCTTGGGATGGCGAGTTTGGGGAGTCGAGCTGCCGTGGTTTTAGGGTGTCTCGGGTTTCAGGGTTTGGGGGTTGGGGGTTTGGGGGGTTGGGAGAGTACAGGTTTTAGGGCCCTCAAACTACTTGGATGCTTCACCAATTGAGTAAGTAGGTTGTAACCAAGGTTATGACTGGGGGTGGTTGGCTTCTTGCCGCGGGGTTAGTTGGTTTACATAGCGACCGAAAAGGGGGCCGATATCCATTTGGAGAACCTATACGGTGTGTCTCACAATAAAAATCGGACCCCTGTTGGAATGGCTTTGACGGAAAAAAAAAGACTCGACATTTGCTTCGCACTTTCCTAAAACGTTCAAGGGGAGGGGGAGGAGGATGAGGAGGAAGGAGGAGGAGGAGGATGAGGAGGCGGAGGAGGAGGAGGAGGAGGATGAGGAGGAGGAGGTGGAGGATGTGGAGGAGGAAGTGGAGAAGGAAGTGGAGGAGGTGGAGGTGCAGAAGGAGAAGGAGAAAAGGAAACCAACCAGATGGAAAGATCGGTCCCACCCCTCATGATTGTTTTAACCCTGGCTGTTGTATGCTCAACCTATTTGGCCATCAGCATATAACCAAGCCCGGTGCTTCTGGTTACCTACTGTATTGGCAACTGGCCGGAAGTTTCCACAACAAGGGCAACACAGGTCTAGTGCTACCTTCCATGTCCATTCTTTCCAGGGATCCGAATCTTTCTAGAAAACCTCCGGAAACCCCTGGAGAACGGCTCCGGGTTTCCAAAAAAGAAGGATGGTTGGAAAGAATGGACAAGGAATCAACCCCTAGAACAGTAGAGGGCTTGCACAGGTTACCAGGCGCTGGGAGTTCGTTGGCTTGTACCCAGGGTTACAACCTGCTCACCCCCGGGAAGAAAAGGGGAGTTGTTTGCCATGGAAGACCGGCTTCTCGTAAAATATACCACTGAACAAAATGGAAGTTTTTGGGAGGTTGGGGATACCCTGGGAAAAAAAGAAAAGAACTCACCCCAGAATGGTTGGTTGCAATCACCGCTCATGTGTGTTGTTTGTGTTTGTGGCTCGGTACCCTTTGATAATGGCGGGAAAAAGGGCAACCAATCAGAAAGAAAGGACTTGTACCCACAAAGAATCCGGAGAAGCACCGGGTGTTCATTGCGGCTCAATGTGGGAAGGTGATTTGTTTTTGCGGGTACGCTTCTTGGATGGTCCGAGAATTGTTGAGGGTCCCCTAAGTAAAGCACACCCGGTTTGGGTATGAATTTGAATGGGAACCCATCCGTTTTTGGCAGAGGGTTAACATCATACCCTAAACAAAGTGGGTTGTAGGGAGAACTTTCAAGAGTTAGAAACCCCTCAAAAGTGGCTGGTGGACATAACACCCAACCTGAATGATGTCCTTGCATTCTACCCTGGAAAGCCCGCCCTAAAGGAAAAGGACGGGTACTTGGAGCGGTTTAAGGGGGGGTAGCCAGTTGCGTCATCAAAACCGATCGGTATAAAAATGGTCCCAGAACCATGCTTGAAGAACTAAGGCAGATCTTCGCACCCTTTTCTGGCGGCTTGGGATTCTCTCTTAACCATAGGCGTCCTTTTAGGGGAAATAGATGGATATCCCTGGTAGATGAGAAACAACCACCAGGACAACCAGGAAGCGCCATCTATTTTCTAGCAACACAACCAAAAAGGACACCTATGCTCTTAACCGGGCCCCATCTGCCCCAAATTTATCGGGTTTTGAGCACCCGGCTCAGAACCTGAAACCAAGCCACGTTCTCAACACCAAAAAAAAGAGTTCCTGCTTTCACCAACTGGTTAGTGCCACCCAAACGTGTGGTTGGTGAAACATATTCCCATGTTTACGGGCAGTTTGACAAAAAGCTGGCCCAAGTGTTTTTTCCCCGGGTAATTACCCAAGCAGAGTTTCCGAAAAATGTAATTTTTCCGAGCAGATTTTTTGCGGGAAAAAAACATGTGTCCAAGCTCTGAGACTCTAAGACATTTGTTGGCGATCTGATGCAGAGCTGGGCGCGTCGAGCTTGTGGCTCAGGCTGTAGACACACAAGATCGCCTTGAACTCCGGCTGCTCCAGCAGGTTCTTCACCTGAGTCACTGGCTCAAAACCGGTGGGGACATGGCGTGGTTCTAGCCCCCCCAAATCTATGATTGGCGAATTCCCCCCAATTTTTGGAGTAGCTTGAAGGTCCAGGTGAGTCATAATCAAAACCCGGTACAATAAGGGGTCGACCCGGAACCATGCTTCAAGAACTAAGAAGGCGGATATCCGCAGCGATTTATGGCTGGGATCGTCCCTTGCTAACCTTCACTTACCCAGGTTTTGATTGTGGCTTACCCGGGTTTGATTGAAGGTTCTTCACCTGAGTAACTCAGATCGGAGGCTGGTCGGGTCTGTGGGTCTACCTGGACCCGAAGAAAAAAAACAACAACACCAAAACCCCGGGATGCTGGACCTTTTTGGGTTTACCTGTACCCGACAACAACAACAAAAAACTGAGAAACTCAGATCAAGCTGTGGGTGAAAAACATAAGTACCCAAAATCAACCCGGGGAAACAAGGACTGAAGCCAGCTGTCAAATTCCTGGTGGTTTTATTTTGATCCATACCCATATCAAGCCGGTTCTTCTTTGGGTCGAAATAAACAATTCGATTCCAGAATGCTTGGGGCAATAACCAAGTGTTACGGGTAGTCTGAGCGGTCCAGGTACCCTTAAAAAGTTGGAATTACCTAAAAGTCCAGGTACCCAGAACCATGTAAAGGAGTAAAGAGGTGTAAATCCGTACCCAAGTACCCCTTGAGGCTAAGCCACACATCAGTAATTAAGGTAAAGTAGGGGTAAATAAGCTCGAAAACATGGCATAACTTTCTTTGTGGAGCTCTATGGGAAGTCCAAGTTGGTCATCCAAAACCATGAAACTACCTACAAAGATGTGTTATTGCCATAAACAAGTAGGGCTCCCTTTTTTCGGGTACCTGGACCCTCAAAAATAGGCGTTTGCCGGTGAATTCCCTTTTTAAGGGTGGTTTGAGGTTCCTTTGGGTCCAGGTACCCTTTTCTCCTTTGATTTAGAGGGGGCTTCCCCCTCCAAAGGAAGGAACCCAAGTGAACCGAATCGAGAAGCTGGGTGTGTTTTCACCTCAAGGGGTTTTGCGAACTGCCGTGAAAGAACTCATGGTGGTTCCGATCTCCCAATCTAAGTTGGACACTTGACGGTCCAGGGAAATGAAACTGGGACATCAAAACCAAGTATCTGGAGAATCCACACCCGTAAAAATGGGCTATCGCAAACTTATGCTCCCTGCTCATGGGGTAGTTTGAGGGTCTTGGCACGTACAAACCCCAGAGATCTTAGCGCTTGGTCTCGGAGCGCCAACAAAATGCCGTTGGAAGCACGTCTCGAACCACGTCCGCCCATGCAACTTTCTTCACCGGGAAGCTTAAGGTTGTAGTTTAGGGGAACCCTCCCAACCAAAAAAGTTGGTAAAAGGGCACCTGGCTGGGGGACCTAGAACGAAACTTGAGCCCCCGTGCTCTTTCGCGGCGAGAGTATCGGTCAAGAATCAACACGTGAGAAAGCCAAGGACTTGGCCTGTGGCTAGATTCAGGATTCATACAAGCCTGGATCGCCAGTGGCGATCGCTTTTCTCCCCAAAAACCGATCGAACGAGTGACTGAAAAAAACAGCAACTTGGCTATCCAGCAGTGCCGATTGATGGTCACACACACACAGTATTCCCACCATGCCATTCATAGACATCAAGTACAGGACATCGAAGATCCCATTGCTAGTAAGCTGGCCACAGCCCTTGTTCCGGTTTCCAGTGTTTTTGTCCAGCCTGTTGTAACCAAGGCTCGAAAAAAAACACAAAACATACGCCCTTCAACCATATCAGATTCCTGCCCCTCGTGCCCTAAGCATCGTTCTCGTGCCCTCAACAAGGCCTCTTTTAGAGGCCACATCTGATGCAAAAGGGCACCAGAAAAAAAGGCGTCCTGGACCCCTTCTCAAAATCTCCCTTCCATAGCGGGTTGGCGAAAAAAAGGCCTGAACTGTTATTAGTTGCCACTAAAATGGGCCAGACCCACAAAGTTTTTCTAAAGTCCATGAACTCAGGAAGTGAGAAAAAATTACCAGGCGCCCTCCTGAACCCTCAAAATTCCCTTACCTAGAGTCTCCATGAACCTTGAAAAATGGGGTCATTGCCCAAAATTAAGGGGTTATGACCCCATTTTTAAGGGGTCATGGAGACTCTAGGTACAATTCGGCTGTAGCCCAGTTATATGGGATTAAACAAACTTTGCGGGTTCTGGACCCCCTCTCGACATAGACCAATCCTGACATAGGCGCTGTTTCCACAATGGTGAAGTGAATCTTCTTGTCCATCTCCTGACAGCCACTTGGGGTGTGAGAAATTTGCCAAGCTAGTAAGTTGTTGGTAACCTAGGTTCTATCCCCAACGCCACCTGGTTCAGAAAACCTACCTGGACCCTAAAAGTACCAACATAAAAATGGGCAGGTACGCATAACATCCACTTAAGGAGGCTTGTAAGTGCCACTTAACTTGGCGAGTCTGGTGGGTCAAGTGGGTGCTCACTTCCAATCCACTGGATTGGCCGAAACAAGTCTTAAACCCTCAAAATTCCAACTGAAAAATGGAGTATTGCCCCAACATTACAGGGTGAATTCCCATTTTGGTAGGGTAGTTTGAAGGTCCGGGCAGACATTTTGTTTGCCACTACACTGGTCCAAACCCAAACCAGTGACTAAAGCACCAGGGATCTTGCCAACCACTATGGTCATCCGTCCCTTTGTTAAATTCCCTTGGCACACGCTCGCTCCGAGCTGCTGCTTGTGCACAGAGAAACTGAAAGGGTCCCGACTTTTTGTCTGAGGGCTTCTGAGGTCCTCTGATTGAAGGCAACCAACACTTGTTGCTTGGTATTTTCTGGACCACCTGGATTTCCAGGGCGAGGTCCTCCAGTAGAGAGGTTGGAATAAGGGTACCAACTAATTTCTGTAATTAGTCTTTTTTAGTAGGGGAACCCTCCCCCAAAAAAGAACGGTAAAAGGGCACCTAGCTGGGGGACCTACAGGGTACAAACAAGGAGTAACATCAGCTCTATCGTAAGCTGAAAACCGCGATTGGTTAAACAGCGCCTCGGGGCTTCTCTCGCGACATGGGGCGCCACAAGTTGCGACGCCAGTCAGGTGGTACCATGCCACGCCTTTACAAACAAAGGGTTCGTTATTTACCCTGAAAACCAATTTGCTCAAACATACCCTCAAAAATCGGGTATTTGGAGTAGGGGGTTGGTCGCCCTTAGCACTTGTGGATTGGTGAATTCCGGTCATTTGCTTTAGTCCCGTGGAAAGAACATTGAACCATATTTCCAGCAGTAGTAGATGCCCCTTAACATCAACAGGAAAAAGTTAAACAGCACATACTCTGAAGCACATATGCCATGGTCGCAGCTCCGTACATGGCCTGTGATCATGGCTCCCGTATTGGGAATCATTAGAATGGTTCCTATGGATGATCATAACTGCTACTGTAACCCCACGAAAAGGTGTTCTTTGCAGTTTAAAATTGAGGGCTGGCCAATCCTAATCCATAATCCCTATAGGGAAGCCAGTACAAAGGGGGACAAATCCTTGCGCAACCCAAGGCAAGGACCTTTGAACAGCCCAGTTCGTTCAAGTCTTGGCACCTCTTTTAGGTCCTCCAGTAGAGAGGTTAGAATAAGGGTACCAACTTTTTTCTGTAGTCTATTTTGGTAGGGGAAGCCTCCCAACCAAAAAAGGGGTGAGGCCAACAGGGGAAATATGTTTAACAACAAATCTTCAGCAAATGGAACTCACTTGCTCAGTGACCCTGGAAAAAAAGGAACCCTTTTTGGGAAAGACAATTTTTAGTGGGGCAGCCACCAAAAAAAAGGAAAACTCATTGGTGCCACTGAAATAACTGAGGGAAGTATTGCGGGACCTACTCTTTTGGGCCATCTCAATCTGACGGCCCCTGAAATTTCAGAGAACCCGTCGGCCGGGCAAATCGGCCGGTCGGCCGGGCCTTGGTGAGGCTTTGCTGCAGCATCATGCGTGCCAGCTGCCTCGGCCATACTGGTTGGTCAGTGACCAGGGGGTGCAACAAGACTCCTCCTTAATTTCCGACTGCCTGGACCCAAAATTCCACCCCTAAGAATTGGTCGTCGCCCCACGCCCCAAAAAATATGGGGCGCATGACCTTCTTTGTATGGGCAGTTTGAGGCTCCAACTACTCATTTTTCTGGGCTGCCCTCAGATCCCCCGCTAAAAGTTGAACTTTTAGTGGGTTAAATGGAAACTACCATTTTACTTTAAATCCAAAAGGCTAAGGGGATGGCTGGGAGCAACCAAGTGTTGGGGGTGTTGGTACTTCAACCGCTGAACGCTTTGGTGTCTCTGCCTAATTCAGCTCCAGGGTGGTTCGGAGCGGCTCTGGGTCAGGGGTCCGGAAAACTTCCGGGGGTTGCTCTTGGGGATATCACCTGGGTGTTTGTTTACTTTTTTAAGTTAATATATATATATATATATATTTGTATTTCCTCCTGCCCGGAAAAAAAGTGGGTATTGTGCGTGGGGAGGAATTCAGTGAAATCATGCCCCTCCTTTTTTTGGTTATTTTTCCGGAGACAAAAGGGAAGCAACCCACAGCTAGAGCACTTGGAGTACCGGGGACTTTCCTGGTTGCCTTAAAACCCCCATCAAGACCTGCAAGACGAGCGCAATTCTTTCGCACCCATCCAACCAAAAGCCCAAGATCCCGTACTCAGGCACGGTTCTCTGCAAATGATCTTCGTTCCTCTGACAAGGGTCCTCTGGATTCATCCGAAGCTAACATTAAAAAAGAAAACATGGAAACATACGACTCAAAATTCTGTTGGGATGGGCCTTAGAAGGGTTCCCAACAGGAAACCGACCACCCGAAGGAATCGGTCCCCAATCTCGAGAACATTTCGAGAACCCATACTTCCCCTTAGAGGAATTGAATTGCTTGCTCAACCTAAGTTGGTCTTCCTCCGGTAGAGAGGTTCGAATAAGGGTACCATTTTTCTTGAGGAAGTCTATTTTAGTAGGGGAACCCTCTCCAAAAAAAAGGTAAACTGGCACTACTGGGGGGACCTAGTGGTTCCAAGTGGCGGCAACTGGAGCTAGTTGGCAAAAAAGCCATGATCACCCATCTGACGTAGGCAACGGTGAAGAAAGGACTGGTGATGGGTACCCATGTCCCAAGCCGAATGAACAGACCAGTTCTATGGGGTTCCCTTCCTTTTCCCACCCTGCAAATACCCTCCTTTCTGATTCGGCCCAAGATGCCAACCCCTGACTATGCACCCTGGCAAAACCGATCGGTTTTCCAAGACTCAAGCAGGTGGTACTTTTGGAGCAGGGGAACGTACGCCATCATGTAAAACCGGGCAAAATCATCTGGTTACCTGCTAAAGTCCTCCATTTGCTTTGGGCCTCTAGTAGGCCCTGGAAAAACTTGTTTCTAGAAGTGAAGTGATGATAGATTCCCCCAAACATCACCAGCAAAAAACACAAACACAACATCATCTGGGAATCAGGGTACCCCTTTTTTAATGTAGTTTCTTCTAGTAGGGGAACCCTCCCAACCAAAAAGACACCGTAAAAGTTGGCACTTGCTGGGGGACCTAGTCATTTCAGCAAACGGAAGCAGCGGCCTGGAAGCCCTGAGATACCGAACAACGGCCCGCGCGTGACAGTGTTAGGAGGGACTGGTGATGGGTACCCATCCTCCAAATGAACAGTCCATAGTAGTCCTCCGCTATGGGACTTCTACCTGAGGAATATGCAACCTCTTTACGTTGTTTAGGGGCGAATTTGACCCAGGATTAATAGACCTGTCCCCCCTAATGATGGGTGTTCCCTCCAAAAGTGGCCACTAAAAGGAATTGGACACCCCCCAATAAAAATCAACCAGGGGTTCTGCTTAATCCGGGGTTAACATTAGCCCCTAAACAAGCTGGCATGTTCTTCAGGGGGAAGTCCCATAGCAACGGACTACTATGAACTACTGGACTGTTCACTAGAGACCCGAGGCGCGTGTTGTTCACGGACATCTGGCGCCCGCCCTCGCCGTCCGCGCCGTCCGCCACTGACCGCCCCAGCTCCATCAAGGCGCGCCCCACCGCCGCGGCTGGCGTAGCGATGCGTAGCGCGAGATCGGAAAGGGGCCTTTTTGGGGCGTAAAGACCTGGGTTGCTGCAACGAAGTCCCCTGCAAAAAGTGTGTTTGTTTCTCCACTTTTGGGGGGGGGGATTAGTGGAAAGCCCAACTTGATTTCAACAAAAAAGCTAAAGTCTAAAGATCCAACCCAATAGCAGTCAAAATTCCCTCCGGGAACCCACGCAAGACCCACGTCTTTTTCAGAACCATGAGGTCAACCCTTCACTAGAAAAAGGGTGACCAGTTTACCCGCTTTGTTCAGTTGGTATGTTGTTGGAAAGCCACGCTTCCAGACCCCAGACTCTCATCTGTAGCGAGCTACCTGGAGTTCTCAGGGCCGACTTATGAAACGCGAAGATGTGCCGCCAAACACCTACCCGAGTAGTATGTAAAGCAAGTGGGGAATGAGGGAATGAACGACCTGCCCAAGGGTTGCCCTACGTGCAAACGCCTACCTTCCGGGTGAATTCCGCTTTTTTATGGGTAGTTTGAGGGTCCTCCAGTAGTCTTGTTTAGTAGGGTTCGGAACCCTCCCCCAAAAAAGAAACGGTAAAAGTTGGCACCTAGCTGGGGGACCTAGTGTGCCGCCAAGTGGGTGTTTGAGAATCAGTTGGAGCCCCAAATTCGGGTGGCTTTCCTGTTGCCAATCCTTACCCGAAAAAGAAAAAAGAAACAGAGGCAAGAAACCCCAACGGCTACCTACTATAGCGGCGAAACGCCGGGAAGCACTGGGCTCGGTTCTCCTCGAGACCAAAAGGGGGGTTCCCGTAGGGAGGTTTGTCAAACAAGCCCAGGTATTCCCAGCCCCGGAAGCCCCTCCTATCCAAAGCTGCCGAAAAGCCACCCGATTGCATCGAACCGAACTATCGATCGACCAAATCCAAAACGCCTTTCTAACTTGCTGAGTGGATGGCCCCAAAAAAGGTGCAAGCTTCATATCTACCACTAACATGGTCCCACAAAGTTTTTCAAGTTCATGCACTCAGGAACTGAGCTTCTGCTGGGGCCCCTCATGGTCTTCCCAAAACTTAAGGACACCTCCACCTTTGGAGCCAGACGTGCGCTGAAACACAAAGCGAAACAAAGGCCCCTGCGCATCCCCTGCGAGCCTCGGCTTGCCTTTCTCAGGGATCCGGATGCAATAGAAACACCGATCGAACATTGCAACTTGTAAATTGTGAGTTCCCTGTATTTTGCTGAAAAAAACATGTTTCAAATGGGCAAAATGTATCTTTGGTTGAAAAAAACCAACATGTCTCAAATGGTTGCAACCTTGAGATCTTTTAAGGAGCCCTGCTTTAGCAGACTGGCTTTTCCCCCAAATCGGCTTTTCGGAGTTGGAGCTTTCCCTCAAAACCATCCCAAAAATACCTGGGCTCTCAAACCTTTTTATTTTCCGAGGGGAGTTCGCCAAGCATCAAGTGGGGTCTGCGAGAACGGAAATGGAAACCCGAGACTAAACCCCAAAGGCCAAAGAGAAGGAACCGGATGGGCTTGCCAAGTTAAAGGTATTCGGCTCCAGGTACTCAAGAGGTGTTCGGACCTCGCGTCCTGCGGCTCCACAATAGGCAGCCTATTATAAAAGGTCACATGATCAAAACTAATACTTGTTGCATCTAGGTACAATAAACTCTAAATATCTAAGATAATGCATATATCTATCTATATATATATAGTCAACCAAATCCTACTATATATTTCACAAAAAGTCGACTAATTCAATCCTAGATTTCTCCAAAATCTTGCGAGGCCTACCGGACCTCTCCCAAGCGACCCCCAGAAAGAACTCGGTCCTTTGCCCTGGTAGGTCTTCTGCGTGCAGTTCTCCGCCGCGGCCGTGCCCCGGCGCTCCATCATGTTCCTCGAGACATGAATGAATGACCCATCTGGGACCTGGAAAGGAGGGATGGGCAGCCAGCTACCATGTTCCAACAACTTAAGCAACTGAACAACGCAGAATGTGGTTCTATTGTCATGTTGTTGGTATGTTGGTATGTTGTTGTTTGCCATTCCTTTTTTAAACGAGGTTTTGGGAATGGCAACCGGCTCGGAAAGTTTGCAGCTACAATGTTCCATGATTAGAGCTAGGCAACCAGTTCTCGCGTGCTTTCTGCGAGGCAAAAAGTTGAAGTCCCAACATCCAAGCAAAATGCACCAAAGAGTTGATTGAACCACCAGGTGAACCAGGAATCGCCCTCTTTTTGTTTGTTTCGACCAAATCAACTAAAACGGACACCTTATGATTAGAGTTAGGCCCAGTTATAGGATGTATATTTTATTTTTTGCCTCACTTTGAGTCACTGGTCAAATGTAACATGTATCCTAAGTCTACCCCAGGTTCCCGGCTCGGAATTTCTTTCTCGCCGCTCCGATTTTTTTTTAAACGAGCCATTTGGGAATGGCAACCAACGCCTTGGAAAGGAAGGGGCAACCAACGCCAGACGCAACTTTGAGAATCTTTATCTCAGATGCCCAGTGGATTTCCATGGGAAGAAAGGGATCGGCATCCTTTCTTGGTTGGTGGACTTCAAAGGGACACCCTTATCCCGAAAAAACAAAAAATGGGCGACTGGGCTACCCTCAGAATTCCAACTTAAGCATGCGATATTGCCCCACACATATTAGTAAAGGAGGGAAGTAGCCATCATTGAACAGAGTTCATGTCCCTTCCCTAGCGGGTAATCTCTGAGATTCAACGGGGGAGCGAAGGAATGGATTATGAGTGAACGGGCCCTCAAAATACCCACGTTAGAATGGGTCTTTGCAACCCAACACTATGGTCACTTGCCAAGTATCCACTCCCTTCAAGCACAAATGAACAGATCAAGATGAGCCCTCGAAAAATTGACATAGTTGTTTGTAAACCGATTGAGTCTTCTCCCATGTCTTAAATCCACCCCAATAATACATAATGCTCCAAAAAACAATGCAAACTCGCTCCGAGTTCTGTTCATTGCACCAACACTAATTAAACCAATACTATACACTCCTAACTGCATTAGAAAGAACATCAAGCATTTCCCTTCTTTCCATTGTTCATATGTAACACGTATTCTGTTTTGTCCCCCTACTTAAAGTGAATTGGAGAATCCAATCCAGCAAAGGTCCCTTGAGCAACTCCATTTAAACTCCTTCGGCAGACTGTGATCTTGAAGGGCTTTTGCGCCAAATGACAGGAGGACCGCATTTGGACGAGAACAAAATGTGGAACCCCCCCTTGAGCACCTTGGTACCCCATTAATTTAGTCTAGCTCCTCCAGTAGAGAGGTTATAACAAGGGTACCAACTTTTTTTTGTAGTGTATTTTAATAGGGGAACCCTCCCAACCAAAAAAGGGTGAGAAAGGGCACCAATTGCTGGGGGAACCTACGGTAAAATGACTAGGGGCTGAATCCGAGAGAGCGCTGACAGTGCGACTGAGGCCGCAGGAAAGCCAACCTGGAGTCTCCGAGTCTGACCCGAAGGAAACATAGGTCCATGACCCGAATCATTCGGGCAGTCTGACCACCCATTTTTGATCCGGGTCAGAAGGAGACGTCCGCCAACCATTTTAAGTTGCAACGCCCCATGTTTCGCAATTTTGAGGGTCCAGGCACAATGGTCTCGCGCTGCTGCCCGGCGACTGATTCCCTACCTTCCTTGCAGCCCCCAAGACGTCGGACTTGAACTTCGCCAGCAACGTCCTGCGGGGCGTCCAAGATAGTTCGAACCTTTGTTGCAGCTAGAATGGTCCAAACCCGAAAAACATTAAGTCCAGCAACTCAGGAAGCAAGATTATTTTACATGTTACCCTATAGACTGAAACCCAACATTGGCCCCTCAATGTCCGACCTCAAGTCGCAATCGTTTTTGTGAAACCCGGTAAGAACCCAACCAACTAGCCTAGCCACTAAGTCCAGGTGGTAGTGGTATTTCCAGCAACCGGGTCTGTTGCACTAAAAAAACAGTGTCAGTGTGTTTGCCGCCGTTTCAAAACCGAGAAATCTGGGACCCCTTGCAGCTTTCAGCGGATGAAAATACACATATTGGATATAGCCCCAACATTCTGGTTGCCTGGATCGCCAGTCGCTGTTTTGTTTCCATCCATTTTACCCGGGAAACAAAAAACAAAACAAAAAAAAACAGTGACTGCAAAAACAGCAACTTGGCTATCTAGGCACTTGTATTCAAGGTATCCCTAAGGCTCCTTGCCCCCATTAACAGAATGGTAAAGACCCAATTCCGATAATGACAATCATTAGGCAAACAATGGTGGCGAAATATGAACCCCGCTCGTGTTAATGGTGGTTTGAGCCGGAATACGATGGAATACGATTTGTCAAGGCTTTACTATCAAGGGATCGCCGTGTAAATCCTTTTCTCAAAACCCTCTACCTTTTAAACACAAAAGCCCATCCGGACCCGTATTTGGAGCTGGACGGACAACTTTTCCGGGTCCAAGTTTTTCGACGCCTCTTGTCTCTCGTCTTTGGCGAGGACTCCGATTCACTGCAGAGACCCACCGACCGACTCCCAAATAGCTTCAGGGGCGCGCGAGCGCCGACTTTCTCCGACACGGGATGCGAGTCGATTCATATCCCCAGGACCTGGGACCAAAGTCAGAAACGACCAACGGAAAAAGTTGGGAACTCCTGGATCGCCAGGTGCGGTTTCGCTTTTCTTTTTCTCCCATGCACTCAACACCCCCAAAACCGAGATCGCAACGGTGACTGAAGAAAACGATCGCAACTTGGCTCTTGCAACCCGAAAAACAGGGCGGTGGGAAATGGAATCCACTGTGATACAACCAAAAGGGCCTGCCTTTTTTGACTAACCTCTCATATAAAGAGGGGATTCCCTTGTATCACAGAAGTGGGTATAAACCCCTTGACTAAAGGGTATTTGATTAAAGGGTATTTGGAGGGTCCAGCTTGATTTTTGATTGGGGGGTGTGCCCTTTTAGTGGAAATCCACCTCACTCCAAATACCCGTCCTTTGTTGAATTTGTATTTCTCGGCAAACCCTGCTTTTTTCCCAAGGCAAAAGCCGATCCCTTTTTTGGTAAAGGGTTCACATCATACCAACTGAACACAGGTGGGGTATTTTGTGCAGGGGGAACAATTGGGTCCCCCAAAAATTGGACACCTTGATTCAAACTCTCACATTGGCCAAGATCATAAAATACCAGTGGATAATCCCAGTTGCCGCCCGCGGTACCAACTCACCCCACGTTAAACCTCAATTCAGTAGGGATGGATTTCCTTGAAAACCCACAGGGGTTTCCGCTAGAAAAAACAACTGTAGGGATGGATTATTTTAGGAATAAACCTATGCCTAAGGTAGTTTAAGGGTCCAAGGGACAGTACAACATATGCTTAACTTGTCCTTAAACATTCCCTTGGGATTGAAAACATACGCTTGGGAATAGACCAAGCAACTGGACCCGTTACGGGTAAGGCTCCAGGCGTAAGGAATCCCTGGTCTCCTTCTGGCCTCCCTCTGCTCCTGAGACGCCGCTCTGGGAGGCAAGTTGCTGGACTTCCATTGGGATTTCACGGAGAGAAAAAGCAAACCAGATCTTAAGACTGTAGCGAAAAGGGTTCGCTTTTTTTCTAGTCTGGTTCGCTTTTGTCTTTTTTCTTGACGGAATTTAAGTCTTCAAATCTAGATAGGGATGTTCCCCATGTTCGGAACACGGTCTTGATCTGTTTGAAGAAGTCAACCATTTTTAGAAGTTCCCAACATGTTCCCATGTTCCCATGGTTTCTTGTCTTCAGACTGCCCGGGGTCTTTTTTTGTGACCCCTAGAAGGGCTAGAAGAAGGGGTCATGACCCTTTAATTTGGGGTCATGACCCCCATTTTTTAAAGGGTCATAATAAAGGGTCATGGAGACTCTAGGTGTAGAGAAAACGCAGAAGAGGGTCTTCTGGCCCGACTGGCGGAAGAATTCACGAACCAGTGCTTCCATTTCCTGGTAGATATGGTGGATGCTTTTGCCATGTCGTACGTAACCCCACCAACCACAAAACACTTGGTACATCACGGCAAATTAGAGGGTCTCCTTGCTCCCTTACAACCGGGGTCAATGGACCCCTCCAAAAAGGAGGACTGGTGAAAAGCCTGCAACCAAGCCTCATGAGGATTCCCATTTGGGTTTTGGCAGCGCGAACGAAGATCTCAAACCAGAAATGAGGAATCAGCATCTGGATCCCAACCACTGAATACCAGGCGAAATTCGGATACAAAGCGCCCAACAACCGTTTTTTTGTTGCGCCGTACCAGTGGGAGTCTGGGCATGTGAGAAAGCACCCAACCACTGCTTTTTGGATTTTGGACATGGTACAAGTTCTTGGGACCCGGGTGCTGGCAAGTAATCCCGCCTTTTTTTCCTTGGCGAGCTCGTTCCGTCTAAGTTGTTGATTTGGGGAGAAAACACATTGCATGGGCGATAGGCGCCAGTTGATGTTTCGGGGATTCATCTTATCCCAACTGGTGCGAAGTGGATGTTGTCCATCCACAGTATGCTCCAAAACACCGCGACCCTCAAACTACTCATGCAAAAAGGAATTCAGCCCCATCAGCCCCGTGATTCTGGGCAAGAACACAAACTCTTACGGACATTCAGCCCGGTCCAGGCAATTGAATCAGCTCCAATTGGTGGTTTGGAAGGGCCAAAGGCCCGGGCCAAAGGCTTGCCTGATTTTCAGTTGGTGTGATGTCAGCCTCCCCACACTTTGTTCGCATCAACTCAGCAGCTCTGTTGCTAGCTCCAGAAATCAACAAAATCAGAACTGCCAAGAGAGAAGTCTCCTATCAACACCCGGTTTCTTGAGACAACCAAAAACATGCCAGGACCAACCAAGCAAGTATCACATTGTCTTTTAAACACACACACACACACACACACGCACAAGTTTGCAACCCCGCAACCAAAAACAAAACATACAAACTAGGTCCTCCAGGAGAGAGGTTAGAATAAGGGTACCCTTGTTTTGTGTTGTCTCTTGGGACCCCTCCCCCCAAAAAAGGGTAAAAGGGCACTACTGGGGGACCTAGACAACAGTTTTCTTAAGCCGGAAGTTCACAAGGCTGCCAGGACCAACCCACGGACACAAACACACGCAAACACAAAACACACCAGTGTCCGATGGTCTCTGTAGTAACAAAACAAAGACAAGTTTGCCAGGACCAACCAACAAATGCAACAGTTTCTTCTAAGATTCCCGAGTTGGCCAGGACCCACCGAAAAATATACTTGGACCCGAAACTGCTAGGTAAAATATGTTTTTTTAACCAGGAACCAATACTCCCCTGCGAATTAACGTTAAACCCAAAAAGGAGGTCCCCCCGCAAAGGAGGAGGAGGAGGTAGTCATTTTCTCACTTCCTGAGTGAACTCGCCAAGAACCATCTCAGGGAGCTAATGGGGGTCTTATCCTCAAACAAGCACCTGGACCCTCAAAATCCCTTTTATATTTGTGTTTATCCCAGAATTGTCGGCTAATATCCAATGTTAAAGATTAGCTTTCGAGGGTCTATGTATGTGCTCATGCTTCCTGAGCCCTCCGAACTAATCTTAGAAACCGGTTATTGCAACCCAAACTTATGGAATTGCCGAATTCCATTTTTCTATTGGTAGTTTGAGGGTCCCGAGTAAGCTTCTTGAGTTATGGTTCCCCATATCCCCTATTGGACACCCCTATTGAATGGTTGGTTCACGGGGTCAACATTCAAACGTTCGAGGCACCCAACACCAACCTTTGGCTCAAGAGCACTGCAGGCAATGGAAAACGTTTTCTAGGTCTTCCAGTAGAGAGGTCAGAATAAGGTACCTTTTTATGTAGTCTACTTTAGTAGGGGAACCCTCCCAACCAAAAAAGAAAGGGTAAAAGGGCACCTAGCTAACCTAGTTTTGGAGGGTGGATTTAATCAACAATGCGGCTCCACAGGTGCAATCTCAGACGCCAATCCAAACTCGATAAGGCTTACCTCAAACGATTCGAAACCACGAACGCGAAAACCAGAAAGAAAAAAACAAAGAGAACAAACACACCAAAAACACAACAAAAAATGACGAGTCTCCGGGGACGTCGTGGTGTTGCCCGCTTGCACCGTCGCCGCAGGCGCCGCGGTGGAAGTCGCGGCCGTCGCCGCGGGAGCCGCCGTCGTCGCCGGAGCCGGCGGCTCGGGTTCTCGGGCCTCGGAACTTCCGGAGCCACACGGGCGACCGGTGACCGACCGGCCGCAAAAACCAGCCTGAATCGCCAGTTGCGGTTTTTCCCCCAAAAACCGATCGCAACAGTGACTGCAAAAAGCGATCGCAACTGGGCTATCTAGGACAAGGAACATTTGTCATACGCAAGGAAAACACGGTGCTTTTTGAGGGAAGCCCCAGGATGATTGTAGGCAAACTTGTCATAATTTAAGGGTCCGATTCGATTGTGTTTGGGCCCCCATGGGTTGCTTTCTTTCGGGCCCCTCAAAAATTGGTCGCTTTGGGTTCTCCATTGGAGGGTCTGGAAATCTGCGTGGGAGGGGTGATGACCTGAGGGTACCCAAGAAAAACACACAGTGCTTTCTCGGGGAAACACCATGTTTTCAGAATAACTACCCGAGGCAAAGCACGGTGTTTTTTTGCAAAAGTACTACCAATGTACCGGTTTTTGAAGCGCTAGGTAGGGTACCTTGCCTCCATTCAAACAATGGTTGACCCAATTCTGATGACAATCCATCGGGTGTGCTTATCATGCGTCAACAAGCGTGCAGCTCTGCCGTGATGTGCGTGAGAGGGTGTGCTTATCATGTGCCAGCATGCGTGCAGCTCAAGTGTCAACGAGCGTGCCGCTCTGACGTGATGCGCGTGACAGGGTAGTGCACGTATCCTGTGCCAGCGTGCGCGCAGCTCTGACATGACGCGCGTGAGCGGGTGTGCATATCATGCGCTTGCGTGCGTGCAGCTGTCACGTGATGCGCGTGAGCGAGCGGGTGTGCGGGTGCGGGGTGGAAGGCACTCGGACATGCGGGTGGGTAAATACCCGGTACCTTTTAGTAGGGGAACCCTCCCGCAAAAAAGAAACGGTATGAAACGGTCAAAGGGCACTACTGAAACCCTAGTCTTTTTCTAACATCAAAATTTTAGTCAAGGGCAAAACTGAAAGAGGTACCAACGTTCGCTTCAGCGTCGTGCACCAGCCACTCGTCGTGCTCCAGTAGCGAGGGCGAGGCCTTTGGAGTCAGCCAGAAGGACACAGCACCTGGCGAAACGGCGCCCCAAATTCCACAAAAAACGTGGCGTTATTGCCCCACACTTATGAGCAAATGCCTTGTTTTTGTTTTGGGGGGGGGGGGTAGTTTGAGGGTGTGGGTTGGAAAAACTGAAGAAAACAAAACGTGTACTGTGATAGATTCCAACTTTAACTCCAGAAAATATAGACATGTACATATATATATATATATATTTAAATATATCCTGAAGTGCAAGTGGAAGTCATGGGTCTCCATTTTTTTACACACGCACACAGCCCAAATGATTGAAGCCCGGCATCAGAGTTTTTTCGTAAAGAAATTTATTTGCCGTTTACTAGCAGTGCCGCGGTCCGTAGACAGCGGTCGACACCTCCATCAGCAGTGATTCAGTGAGGACAATGCTTTCCGGAAGGCTAGACGGTTGTCACCTGCAAGTGTAAACAATTAAGCAGCCGGGACAGGAGCTTGACTTCTTTCTTTTCTTTTGCGAAGAGGACGGAAAGAGCAAGAAGACTCGGGACAAAAGAGCCAAGGAGAATGCAACAACAGTCACCCCTGAGCAGACCTATACAAACACGTACAACATACATATATATATATATATATATGTAATATTATATGCGCTGCTCATTCGACGGTTGTGGAGGATAGCCCTTCAAAATACCAACCTAAACAAGGGGTGAGCTGCAACCCAACGACAATATAGTGGGTGAAATCCGTTTTAGTAAGCATTGTTCGAGGGTGCGGGTATAAAATGGGATTTCACCCCACCATAAGATTGGGGCAGGCGACGTCGCCAACTATTTTTCGGCGGGAATCGGGAGGGTGCAGGTACCTGGACCCTCAATTTCCCATCTTTAAGAAACGGGCTGTCGCAACCCATCAATTTGGGAAATGTTGACCCCATAGGGGTGTGTGCCTGGGTTTAGTCGGGAATCAGACCGTTCTTGGAGGGAAACAAATCCCCGTAATAACAAACTGGGCTTGATTGATATGGGGTCAACATAACCAGGTACCTACCAACTACCATGGAACCCGACAGGCGTCCTGGCAGACCAGTTGCCTTTTAAAGGGACTCCCTGTCAGGCTCCATGTTAAGTGGTGGGAGGGTATTTGATGGGATAGCCTTGGAACCGACGAAAAAAAAGAGATTGGGTTGCCCTTTCAAAGCTGAAGGGTGTGTCCCTGGAAAAGACCAAACAAAAACATGACCCTACCGTGGATGGACGGAATCCTGCACCGGCTGGTCAACAAAACCAGGGATACCAACAAGTTCTAGGGGTTGATTCCCCATTTTCGACCATCGTTCTTTGATGGTTTCCTGAAAAGAAGGATTGTGGGAAAGAATGGACATGGAAGGTACCCCTAGACAAGTCCCTTGCGTCGGCTTCCAGGCCCCTGCAAGCAGAGCATAGCTTCGGAACCACTCAACCCTTGCCCCGCCCTCAGCATCGCCGCTTCCGCTCTCGCTTCTGTCGGTTTCAGCGCGTCCGGCGTTGTCGCGGTCCTGCGGGGGATGAGCCAAAAATCAACCAATACTCCCCTGCAAATGAACATGGAACCCAACAAGGTGGTCCCATAAAGGATCCCTACCCCCAAAACGTTTTGATTTCAGGGATTTTTGTGGGAAGACTGGTTTTTCAGGGTCAATACCTTCTTTTCCTGTTTAAGTCAGCGATTAACATCAGATCCTATCATATTCTGAGAGGAAGTGGGTATCGGGTGTAGAAGGGGAGTAACTCTCACTTTCTGAGTGCACTCTCCAAACAACCATCTCAGTGGGAGTTGTTTGGACCAAGCCTGGCCCAAACCCCCAAAATGAGCATGGGAGCCTGGAGCTCTGGAGCCTTCAAACGACCCATCAGAAAGGGAACTGATCCCAGAATTGGGTGCTATAACCCATATGTATACATATAAAGTCGTTTTGGGGGTCCAGGATGGCGGTTGATCCCCTTAAACAACTCAAAGTTGCTTCCCCAGAAAATTTATTTTATGCCCTCACACCCGTTTGCAAAAACATCGCATGAACCATTGCATCAACGCTTAACTTAAAAGGGCTGATATTTAGTGGTTACCCAACCCTGGCTGAAAAACTTATTTAGGAGACTTACCGACATAGTAAGTTTATGGTTGCAACTTGCGTGCCAGCGGATCCCAGACAAGCCAGGCAAGCAGATAACGAGACATGTTCCTTATTTGGGTTTTCGAAGGGTGGGAGGCCCCTTGTTTACCTGGATGGGTTTCTCTTGAGACTACCCTTTGTGGGCTTGTTTTGAAGGGAAACCAAAAGGGCCCTCCAACCCCCCCACCCCCGCCGCGGGAATTGCGGGGTACCCTTTTTTGAGACACACCAACCTGTAGCTGGAGCCTCAAGCCACAATGACTTTGGGTCGCAATATTCCATTCTTGAGTTGGCAGCTTGAGGCTGCAGGTACCCAAACAAGAAAGGTAGGTGGCAACACGCCCAGGTACCTTTCGTGCATGTCCATTCTATTGTCCAACAAGGCACAAATGGGCTCCGCAATCAGATGCTACACACACGCACCCTGCACACAATACCGACTGTTGTCAGAGTATGATGTCAACCCTTTACTAATAAAGGAGTTATCTACCCTGGAAAACCGGAAACATAGAACAAAACGGGTATTGTGTGCAGGGGGCAACCTACTGCGAGGGATTACACCGGCTTGGTATCCTCCTACCAAAACGAATGATTTTATTTTCCACCCTGGAAGAAAACCCAGACGCGCTCCCCCAAAACCAACAAAGCCAGAACACAAACAGGAGGAATTTGGGGAGCTTACAGATGGGTTCCACCGCCCTCGACAAATGGAGACGTCCTCCCAATCCAAATTCTGCGTGCCCAAGAGCCGCTTCGGCAAATGTGGGTGCACCTGAGACGAGACGAAACGTTTTAACCTCACGCGGTCAAATTGAAACCTCGATCGGACCCAAAAGCGCGATCAACTTGAAACAAACCTGGAACTCACCAATCAACATGTTGGGTGGCTGGTACTTTTTCACTTTTGTGTTAAACACAAGTTGGAATATTGATTTTCCCTTGGTAAGCTTCAAGGGTTGGAGTTCTCCGTTCTTGGGGTAGCTTCAACAAACAGGCCCTCAAGAAGTGGCCTCTCTTTTTGTTGGTATGTTAAGCATCATTCACGCGGCCTCAAAAGGTTCCGAAGGTCCAACACCTTCCGGCCCCGGTTCGAAACCTTACTTGTTTTTTTGGTTTTTTTGTGTTTACAAGGTCATAGGGTTCCCAAAGCCATGACAAGAATGGCAACCAAGCGGACCCAACTTAGATGACAATCTTTGGGTGAACGTTCTGTTGATTGTATGAACCCAAGCTTTACTTGGTGGTAACTTTGTCTGCCAGGTATCCAGGGAAACCGCCCCAAGGAAACGCCACAAGGAAACATGGTCGGTCGCCTGCGATAGGGGTAACTGGGATCGTAGATGAACCCGCAGGAAGCCCTGCTGGAAGCCTGTGGTCCTTAATGGTACTATAGCTAATTAGCCCGGTTGTACTCATCCCCTGAAAGTCGGACACCCAACCACAAAACCAACCAACACACAAACAAGCTAAGAAACGGTACCACAAACCACCAAGAATCAATACAAACGGGAAGTAACCAACCAACCACCACACTTTTGAGCCAGCATCTCTTTTCATGGCCTTGCGTCCAAGAAACGCTCGCGGACCTCACGCTCTCCTGGCTCTCCTGGCCGATCGGATCCTAAACAAATTCGGCCTGGATCGATCCAGGCGCGGTTTCTTTCTTCCATGCACTCAAAACCCCAACAAACGATGGCCACCGCGACTGAACAAAAACAGCAGCTTGGCTAGCTAGGGAGTCTGTCTGGATCGCCTGAAAAATCATTTTTGTTCCAGTACAATAAACCCCCAAAACACAGTGACGGCAAAAACCGATACCTAGGTGTCTTTTTTTGAGGCACGCCTTTCTTGGTGGCTTCAATTGGACACCAAAAGGAACACCGCGTTTTAGTGCCTGGACCCTCAACATACCAACTTGACAATGGGTGGTTGCCAAAATGACCGGGTTTGCCTGGTAGTTGGACCGTCCGGGTGTCCTTTTGACACCCCCGAGTTCGAGCAGCAGCTAGTTGGGTTCATGCCAAGTCTCGATCAGACCCAAAAAGGGCGTGGCACAAGCCACAAGAAGTGCCATGGCCCAACATTTTCCCGGTCAAAGCACTTTCTTCAGATACCTGGACCCTCAAACTGCCCTTCACAAAATGGGATTCCGCCCACCTGGTTCTTTGGATTCTGGGATTTGAACCCCTTCTACACCGAGCTCCAAACCGGGCTCCAAACCAAGCAAAGGAAAGCTGACTCCCTTAGAAGGTACTCTCTGCAAAAAAAAGGGAAGACCATCACTCCAATACTGGCTCAACATATTTTCATAAATCGCTACTTGGATCCTCAAGCTACCCTTTAAAACAAAGGGATTGCACCCCATGGTTCAGCTTCCCTCTAATTGGTGGTTTGGATTGGTGGTTGTCCGGGGTGGTTTCCCAGTTATCCTTTAAAAGAAGCAGCCCACTTATTCAAACCACCAACTGAGAGCTACCTGAATAATGCTGGGACTCATGTTCCAGGGTAGTTTAGGCCCAGGTAGAGGAAACACGTTGCCACTCTTCTCAACGACTGGAGGCTGAAGTTGTATTCTCATACATCTTATACAGCCCCTAGCAAACATCTCATCTGGGCAGAGACCTAGTAACTTTGCCCAGTCGAGCAGTTATCCTAGGTCCTCCAGTAGAGAGGTTAGAATACGGGTACTCGGTTGCTTTCTGCTCCCCTGCTAAAAGTATAACTTTTAGTGGTTTAACGGAAACCCATTACTTGGCAAAAAGTCACCAAGCAAAATGCAACAAAGGGTACCGACTTTATTTCTGTAGTCTATTTTAGTAGCGGAACCCTCCCCTCAAAAAAGGGGTGTGAAAGGGCACTACTGGAGTAACAACTCATCAGTTAGCATATCCATCCAAGCGTCACAGCTACAGATTGGAAATTTGTCATGAGATAGGTGGGCAATACTTGGGGCTTCTGCTAATTCGCTTGCCCAAAAAAAAGGAATTGGGACACACAACCTTAACCTTTTGGAATTGACAAAATATGAATCAATATGGGAAACCAACAGGTCCAAAAGTCAGCTTTGGGCAAGTAAGTTGTTGCTCGCTATGTTGGGTCTCATATTCAAGGGTACCCATTTTCTTTCCGGCTTTAACGGGAAACCAAAAGGACAAACACAAGTTCGTCTCACTTCCTGAGTGGGTTGGCTAACAAAAGTCTGAACTTGTTATTGACCACTGAAATGGTCCAGCCCCAAAACGTTGAAAGTCCATGAACTCAGGAAGTTGTGGGATCCCATAAAACCAAACAAACTTCATTGAGCTCCCAGCCACAACCAATTCTTCAGAGACTCACCCGGAGCATGCGGCCAGCCGGCAACAGCAACGCTGGCAGCATGCAGGTTTCGCGGCATCTCGACAAAGCTCTCCTGACACGTGGTAGGGGACTTAGTGTCAACTTGGATCCTCAAATTATTAAACAAATCGGTGATAGTTTTAAAATCATGGGGTGTGTTCCCTTTTTGTTAACAGGTATTATGTATTGCATGTTTCTTCCACCAGGCACAAAAGGAACCAAAAGGCAGCCATGTCGTAAGCCTGAAAGGCGCTTGAAAGGGGGTTCATCAAGGTCCAACACGGGATGAGCATTGGTCCACAGGGTTGCAAAATAAACCCACGAACCAGATTTGATCTTTCAACCACATGGTTGAAAAGTTGTGGTCCAAACTGGAGGCCAAAGAAAACAAGTTCCATCCATGATTACAAACTACGCCAGGACCCTGAGGTTTGCCCGCCCCCCAACGTCCAGTTTCACGAATGTTGTTCCATGTATTTGTCGGCATCTGAATCACGACGTGTTCGCCGTGTCGTCCTGCACATTGGTCAGCCATGCGTGCTGATCAAAGTCAAAAGCATTCCTAGGAGATACCGTAAAAGTACCATCCATACAAGCAATGCAAAAACATTTAAAACTCTCGAGCACGCGGTGCAAACCGCATGCCCTGAGCATGGCGGCGGAAGACTGCGCCACAACAGCCTTGTGCTTGAGGCTCATGTTCTGCACGCTGCGCAGGGAGCACAGACGTCGGGCTTGGTGCTTCAGCTGCGAGACTAGGCCCTCAGCAACGTTGTCACCACCGGAGGCAACAAACTTCTTCTTGTAGGACTTGGCGGCTTTGACCTTCTTGCTGGACTACACTGACGCACCCTGACCGGAGCGTTGCCAAAGAGCTCTGCCTGAGGCTCCTCTACGGCGGGAGCATTGAGGGCTATGTGCGGGAGTTCCAGAGGACAGTGAGAGCTCTAGTCGCTGAGGACTGCGCTAGTCGCTGAGGACTGCGCTCAGAACCGCAAGCTGCTGAACAAGCTGCGGGACGAGTCACCCCGCCCGCGCGGGCTGCTGTGCTACATCCTGGACACTGCGAAGGAGAGAGAGCTCATCGATCTGGTGGTGGCAGAGGTCCTGAGATTGGACGGGAACATCCTTGCCTACGAGCACGGCGGGCTCTTCCGGGTGATTTGCGCGTGCTGCACAGTGCGATTGAGGTGGCGCTTGGCGGCTTCGCTTTCACGCCGAAGCCACAGCGCAACTGGCGATCCAGGTATGGGCTCAACAAGTTAGGTGCCCTAACCATCATTGGGCCCGATCCCATTGAAGGGGTCGAACCGGGTCTCCATTGGAAGGTTTTGGACCTCCAAAAGGGCCGTTTTGAGATGGCCCGTTTGATGCTTAGGGTGCTCTTTGACTCGAGCAAAATTTGTTTCAATCCCATCGGCGCGAGTCCTCCAGTTCCAGGAAGCTCTCCGTCTTCCGCCTACCTCTGCTGCCTCAGCTCACGGGTTCCGTGAGGCGAAGTTCAGTGCCAGTGCCGAGCCAGCCAGTGGCGATGTCTTTTTTGTTTTTCTCCATGCACTCAAAACACCAAACAAAAAAGAGAGGCAAAAGCGGCTGAAAAGAGCGATCGCACCGTGGCGATCCAGGTGCTCGGAATGTGAGGAAATGTTCAAGTCCGCCCAGGTCCGCGACAATCGGACTCAATCCCATGAGGGTCCATCCCAGTGGTCTTGGTTCTTGGTGCTCACACCTGTCCCAAGCAGAACCAAGTCTCTTGAGTTCATACCAACTTGCTACATCCAAGTTGCTTCTGATTTCTCTCAAACCCGGTGGAACACAAAGCAGCACGGTACCATTGATGCTTGGTCCTGGGTATAAATGTATACATTCAATGCTGTCTCTTTTTTGGGGAGACCCGAATCCTGAATGGCAACGGTGTCTTCTTGGGGTTTTAAGGGGGTCCAGGTAGAAATAAAGGGTTCGCCTTTTGGGAACTCCAAAAGGTTAAAGGGTGGGTTTGGAACACACTCATATTAGCCTTCAGGCTGCCTTTTGCAATCTTCTGTGGGCAACTTCGGCACAGATCCGAATACACGAAATGAGGGTATAACCGCACAACTTTCGAGGTACGCACGGTGGATGCCCCAAACGTTGCAAATAGGAAACCAGGGAAACCCTGCAAATTCAACCGCGGTGTGTGGTTGGTTTACATTGCAGTCAATGGGTCAAGCTGCCATTTTTGTATGGTTCTCCTAAGGGGGGTGGGCACTATCGGAAGGTGGGTAGTTGAGAGCAGGAAGGTTCCTTCCGTGTTGTGTTGCGCTGTTTTCTGGACGAACCAAACCCGAGCATGAACCAAGCAAACCGAAGTTAGGCCGGTCCCTCTGCCCGAAGTCCAAACTTGACACGAGTTCAGCTGACAAGAAAACAAAATCGGCCTGGACTCGAACTACCCGGATCGCCAGGTGCGATCGCTCAAAACCCGAAAGAATGATACAAAGAAACACTGCAGTGACTGAACAAAGCGATCGTAGCTTGGCTATCTAGGTACCCTTAACCATGGAATTTCAACCCATGACTTTGGTTAACTATCGATTTGTCTTTGAGGCTTGGTGTATCTGGACCGACTCTCACACATCCAACTGAGCCATGAGTTTTTGCAACCCCAAATGATGGACCTAGATAGCCAAGTTGCGATCGCTTTTTCCAGTCACGGTAATGTTGGTGTTTGGGGTTTTGAGTGCGTGGGAAAGAACGATTGCAACTGGCGATCCAGGGAGTTGGTGAATTCCATTTTAGGGTAGAGGGTCCAGGTACCCCCGTAACCTTCTTTCAGAAACAAATAAACCACTTTACTAGAGAAGGGATCGGTCACCACGGAAGACCCACACTTGTCCCCCCACACATACGAAACAAAGTGGATACTTGGAGTCATTTGGGGAACTCGTATTCTAGGTCCTACAGTAGAGAGGCTAGAACAAAGGTACCCTTTTCTCGGTATAGTCTATTTTAGTAGGGGAACCCTCCCAACCAAAAAAGAAACGGTCCTTAGAACTTGCCAAGCTCTTGCGACAATCTAAACTCGCTTTGGATACACCCATTTAGGCCCCAATTCGATTCATTTAGGGCCCAGCCAGTTGAGACCCACCTAGCGGGGTGCAGGCCTCTCAGGCTTCAGAGAACAAAAAGCAAAGCGTCATATGGGTCAGTCGGTTCATCTTGCTCTGGGAATGACCCAAGGTGTTGGAAGAAGCTAGGGATTCCTTTAAAGGAAGCCATAGGGAATGGATTCTCGCTGGCTTTCTGCGAAGCCCTGCTAAAAGTTTAACCTTTTAGTGGTTTAATGAAAACTACACACATTAGTTGGCAAACAGTTGAAGTCCTAACATCCAAGCAAAATGCACCAAAAGGTTATAGGGGTCATTCCAACGTATTCCTTACTGAGAACCAGCAAGTTATAGCAACCTCGATTTTCATGCGGGGGTGTGCCAAACGGGTCTAGTGACGGAATCACACACCCCGGGGGCGTTACCTCACCTGGGGCCCCAAAACACTGCTATGTTTAGTCAAAAGTCTTTGCCCCAAAGAAGTGGTCATACGGAAAAATGCGTGTTCCTTCGCTTTTTTTCAATATCTTATCGACAAAATACGGACTTATATGGCCACATACGGGCAACTAAGGCAATTCACCGAGGAAAAAAAAACAACCTGGCGGGCGGGTCAACACGGGCCAAATATGCCTTTTGACTGAAAGAAAAGTGGCGTTTCGGGGCTCCAGGCAGCCCAAGGACCGGGAAATAAACAGGGCGTGCCTTTTGAAACCTGCCTGGATCGCCAGTTGCGATCGCTTTTCTCCATCCGCTTTACCCCAAAAACCGATCGCAACAGTGACTGAAAAAAACAGCTTGGCTATCCAGGTACTTCCATTTGGTTAAGACCCCTGGACAAAAATAGCTCCAGTGATAATTTCCTTTTAAAACCAACAAGGGGAAACAAAACAAAACAAAAAACATATGTTTAAGAAAATGGAAGCCTACCTGGACAGCCAAGTTGCGGTCGTCTTTTTCTCAGTCGCGCTTGCGATCGGTTTTTGGAGTTTTGCGTGCATGGAACAAAGCAGCAACTGGCGATCCAGGTAGACTAGATATGGACCAAAACTGTGCATACCCACGCTTTCTTCGGCCATGATGTCGACTTACTCAACAAATGAGGTATCTACCCTGAGAAAAACCAGAGGGCTTTCCAACACAAACAAAGAATGGTACTTGGAGCTTAGGTGGCAGAGCTCCCGCTGGATCAACAAATAAAAATCGGCGCGGCCGGTTCGATGCGTTCATGCCGGGTCGCCCAGGGGCGGTTTTGGGGGCGCCTCACGTGGCGAATCCGCCGCTTGGTCCCAAAGGGGTGAGGTGCACCCCCGAACGGGGTGAACCCCCCGTTTCTTTTAAATAACAACACAAAAGAGGTACCTGGACCCGAATTGAAACAACCCCAAAAAAAAGAATTCAGCAACCATGATCTTTGCCCATAACACATTTTGAAGGGTGAGGGTCCAGGCATCACTTGGGAAAGCAATCCGACTCGCCCAAACAGTCTAGGTCCTCAGTGCTCAGTAGGGAATGAGAACCGGAATGACCCGTATAAACCATCCAACTGGTGGTTTCCTTTCTTCGGGATCCCAAGAATGCACCAGCCTTGCTCCTTTCGAGGACGTGTTCGAAAGCTATTGGGAGGTATCTTGGAAGCTTGAGCAGGCCACCTTTTCGAAAACTCCTTCCCTGCGAGCTGCTTTTGAACACCCCAAAGACTCGAGTGGGTTACAAAATATATGGAGCAGGTATCCCCATACTCCAAATACCTGCCTGCCTGTTTGCGGGTACTTTTTGGGAAACCCTGATTTTCCAACTCATTGCCACCAAGGACCATACCCCACCAAGCCCTGAAGAAAGTGGGAGTTTGCAGTAGGAGGTAGTGTGTGAACATTCGCCTTGTGTCACTCGCACCAATCTGAGCTGTGTGAACGAGTTGGCTTGGGCTGGAGCCCCCTCCCCCTCCTCCCTCAGGAAGGAGGGCTATCAATGGCAGGGCTCCACTTTTTGATTACCTGGAGTCTCCATGACCCTTTAAAAATAGGTCCATGACCCGATTATTTAGGGCACTGACCCCTTTTTTAACGGGTCATGGAGACTCTAGGTACCCCCAAATAGACTTAAACCCAGGGCTTCCCCTTAGGGGGTTCATTACCATCCCGTCTAAGTCCGCCCTAGATAGAAAGTGGAACCCTGTGCAAAGGAGCAAAGGATCCTTTCAGCTCCTCTTCCCCAAGGGTTTATGTTCAAGGGCCCCTGACAAATTGGTCCGGGTTCTTCCTTGGAGGGCCCGAAAGCCTGCATAGGGGTCACGAGCCTTAGGGTTGATGGTGCGAAACGCAGGGAATGAGTTAAAATCAACCGGTTTTTGGCGGCCCTCTGAACGACCAATTCTGTCTGGTGGTTCAAAAAACCTTCTCCCGTCAAACACATCTTTTATTATTATCAAATCGAATCTGGTTGTTTGGGCAACCACGAAAAACTGTCTTGGTGGGATTGATGTTAGTAAAACATTCAAAGGATTTTCGACGTGAGGAGGGGATGATGCCTCTCTTTGAGTCCTGAACAGGTTTGGGTGGAAAGCTGCTCAAGCGAAGGAACAAAGCTGTGGTGACCGCCTGCCGTAAACCTTTTTTGAGAATTCCCGCTAAGAGTTTAACCCACCAGTGGGTCACTAAACACTAAAAAGCTCAAAGGCTAAGGGGATGGCTGGGAGACACCAAGCTTTGAGGTGGTCGGGAAATGCTAAAAGGGGTAACCCGTGCGAAACGATCAGTCTTCAGACTGGAATGCCATTTGACAGCTCTTCGTGTGACTCCTTCAAGTGGAGTCCTCACACCGGTTTCCCAAAGTGGTCGTGTAAAAGCGTCGAACAGTTGTTTTGCGTAGCGGGGCAGGGGGGGTCGATCTTTCTCAGCTCCAATAGGCCTTGGGTGGCAATTTGCACGACGAAAAGAAAGTGCGCCGCGGCAGTTCTCACTGGCTGAGTGGATGGCCCAACGAAAAGTCCAAACTTTATAATTGCCGCTAAAATGATCTTCCCAACAAGTTTAAAGTCCATGAACTCCGGCAGTGAGACGTTGGTTTTCGCATTTTGGCGAACGGCACACGCCCCAAACTGGGCGCGCATGGACCACAACCAAGCGTGACATGCCCAACACTTTGCGAACTGCTAGGCTCCTCCAAGGTTGCCAAGTAGACCAAGCAAAGCTTGGGACACACACCAAGGAAAGGTGGTCAATGTGGTTTGTCCTGATTCAAGTTGAACCCATATTAATCAACCCCAGTTTATTCATAGAGGTATTTCCTCCAACAGTGATGATTCCCCAAAAAAAAAGTAGCGACACCCCCTATTAATAAACTAGGGTTGACTAAGATGCGGTCAATTAAGCTGCTTCCTAGTCATCTCGCGCAGATTTGTGCTGGCAGCCAGTATGCGCACCCGCAGCTTGCACTCAGCAAGGCATTACGCGAGTCTTTGATGAAGTCTAGTAGAGAGTTTAGAATACGTGTACCCTTTTTGCTGTAGTCTATTTTAGTAGGGGGACCCTCCCCCAAAAAGAGTAAACGGGCACTACTGGGGGACCTAGATTTGCAAGTACGGCCCCTGGCAAAAATGAGAAAACACGTCCATGGTGGATTCCTATGAAAACCAACAGAGAAAATAATATAACATACCCTTGTACAAACTAACTTGGAACCCCAAAACCCATCATTCTTAGAGGAAGGGCGATTTCCCCAATCACCAATCAGTTGGGTTTAAGTTTGATTTGGGGTAGTCAAACAATGGACCCTGAATAGAACATTGACACATGCTAAAAAGCTGGAATCCAGCCGGAAGTTTGGGTTGCAACGTTGCCCCACTTTTACCCGTATTCCTTAGTAATTCTCGGCATTCACCGTGTTTTGGGCGCTCAACGGCCGCAAATGACTGCGAACGCCTTGAAAAAGGAAACGCCCACAAAACATGCCGCAAACAAGGGGGCACACACCCGCACAAAAAAAGAAAGAAGCGAAAACGCCTTGAGAACCAGAACGCCCAGGAATTCTTCAGCATTGGAATCTCCATGCAGATCACTGTTCTACAGGGTCAGACATCCAATTCCGAGGCTTGACATCATGTCCTACCATACCAACTAAACCAAGGGTGGGTACTGGATGGTGATACGCAACCGTCCGCTCCAAATGGCCTCTCTGTTCTTGTCTATGTTTTTAAAACCTCGTTTTTCAGGGCAAATGTCATCTTTTTCAGTAAAGGGTTGATATCATACCCTGCAACAAAAACTTGGTATTTGTGGGGGTGGGTGATGTGCAAGTGGAAGAGGACCAAAATCGACGTCCCGCTCGATGGGATTTTACCAATTCTTCCATTTGCCTCCCCTGAACATATGTCCAGTCGTGGATTCCCTTTAAACCCAACAAGGGCGAAAACAACCTGGACCCTCAAATTATCAACTTAAACGTGGGCTTTCACCAACTCCACATTTTTGGGCTGCTATAACCCATTCTTAAGTTGGAAATTTGGAGGGTCATATTCTCAGTAGTGGTTCCTTTCCTTCAAAACCAACTAAGGGAAAACCACCTAGGGCGAATCAGAAACCACCATGTGGGGTGAATTCGGTCGTGCGAGGTCCTTACCTGGAGTCTCCATCTGACAAATGGGGTCATTTCCCAAAAGAATGGGGTCATTGACCCATTTTTAAAGGGTCAGAACCCAGACCAATCCATTTCAGCCAACCTCCATTTACTTCAGTGCCCTGGAACAAATAAACATATTTGCAGTAGTGATAGATTCCCTTTGAAATCAACCGGGGAAAATCAACCATATTCACTTGGTTGACGTTGAGTGGTTGGATTTCAACCACTAAACCACAATAAGCAACAATGGAAAACAACAAAAAACAAAAAAACAGTTTCCCAACAACAAAAATCAACAGGGCGGAAACAAAAACATATTCATTTCAGCACATGGAAGCCCATCCATTTCAAACCACATCCATGTTCATTTCAGCACATAAACCCACCAGATCCAACCAACAAATCCGTTCCGAAAACCGGAATCCGTCTTCTCCGCCTCGAGGCCGGTACGCATCTGCTCCAGCATCTGCCGGAACTGCTCGGTTTTCTCGTAGTCTTGGTCCGGCATCTCCTCTTCCTCGGAAAAGTTTTTTTGTTTTCGTCTCGGCAGGTTGAGTCCTCTGGATGCAGCCACATGCAGTGAGTTCACACCTGCCAGAGCCGGGACTGAAAGTCAGGGCCCACTTCCGAAATCGCCCGAAATCGCGTTTCAGCGTCCCTCCCAAACAAAAGTCGGGGAAGAGATGTTTTGTACCCTTAGTTCAGTGACCCTGGCAAAAAGGGAAAACCCTTTTTGGCCACGGTGCATTTGGTTCTTGGTGTTCGCAACGGTTTTTGGTTGCGTCGGTTTGTTCGGATTCTTCGGGAGGTGCATTTGGTTCTTAGTGTTCGCCGGTTCTTGGTTGCGTTGGTTTTTTGCGGCGGTTTCGGGTTTCGGTTTGCTTTTTGGCTAGGTACCCCAGCTAGGTGCCCTTTTACCGTTTCTTTTTTAGGGGAGGGTTTCCCGAGAATAGACTACCCCGGATCTTCCAAATCATGGAAATTTCACGTAAAATCCGGAGACTACCAGTTTTGTGAGGGTCTCAGTGAAAAAACACAGAGTTTTCAAACTCCTGGTTTTTGAGGTAAAACTCCTAGAAATTGATTGTCGCTTCTGGAAATGGTTTGCACACCTGAAACCCCTAGAAATCGCAATTATTCGGTTGACGGAAGAAACTCTCCAATTCAGACATATTCTGAATCAGAATCATTCACCTGAATCAGAATCGTTCGCCTGAAATTATTTATTCAGAATTCGGAATTATTCTGAATTCGGAATTATTGCCTTTGGGCGACAAATTGGCAAAACCGGAAAGCACCACACCTGAAACTCAGCGCAAAACACCCGCAAAAAGCCCGCAAAAACCCGCAAACTCCCGCAAATCAAAAAAAGACGGAGTTTCCGGAGTGTGCGCAGTAAAATCAGTGGAATACCCACTCCAGTGCAGAGTTGCATAATTGCTGGGATAGTGTACAGAGTTGCACAATTGCGCGCCCAAACAACGAAAAAATACAACAACACTTGAATCCAATTGTTTCCCCCAAGAACCACTCCTAGTTTTTGATGTTCACTCCTGCCTTTTGCAAGCCACTCCTGCTTTTTGATTCCTGCATTTGAAACACCTGAAACTCCTAGTTTTCAGATAGCCTCCTGGAAATATTCCGGAGAACGGAAAAACAGAGAAATAACCCGGAGACGGAGGACCCAGGACAGAAAAAAGGGTACCTTCATTCTAACCTCTCTACTGGAGGACCTAGTCATACTCGGGTTTGGTTCGTCCGTAAAACACACAACAACAACAAAAAACACGGAAGGAACCTTCCTGCTCTCAACTACCCACCCACCCGATGGTACCTGCCCCCCTTAGGGGAACCGATAAACATGTCAGTTTTGTCCAAGGACGCTTAAGCAAATCTCAGTTGTTCAGTGGCACCAATTATTTTCCCCCTTTTTTTGGTGGCTGCCCCACTAAAAATGGTCCAAGACCCCAAAAAGGATCCTTTTTTTTCCAGACTGAGGGTAAAAATTGTCCCCCCGTCACTGAACAACCGAGAAATGGCAGTGGGCCGAAAAAAAGCCGAACAAAACCGACGAAACCAAACGCTCACTGGCTGAGTGGATGGCCCAAAAAAATCCAAACTGTATATTTACCACTAAAATGGTCCAGCCCCAAAACGTTTAAAGTCCATGAACTCAGGAAGTGAGAACGAGCGAAAACCGGTGCGACGAACCAAACCCGCCGAACAAATTCCTACGCAACCAACCACCGGCGAAAGAAACCGTCGCGACCATACCCTCCGAAACCCGCCGGAGAAAAAACAAAAAAACACGGCGCGACCCCAACGTTTGCGAACACCGACGCCGTTCTTCGAGCGGCGATGATGTCTTTGTTCTGCTGGCCCGCCAGCTTCACGCGCCTGAGTGCGAGGCAGCGAAGCGGATCGCTCAGGCGGTCTGCCTCGGTAGCTCCTTGCTCCGCCTCTGGGACCAAAGCCCGAAATGGGACTTTGGGTGTTCCTACCTGGAGTCTCCATGACGCTTTAAAAATAGGTCCATGACCCCATTATTTAGGGCAATGACCCCATTTTTTAAGGGTCATGGAGACTCTAGGTAGTAGGGAGCGTTCCTTATTTTGAACCAACCTCTGAGTTGCCGGGATTGTGGGTGTTCCTGTACCGGCAAGCCGGTAAGAAAAAAACAGAGCTATTTACCCTGGAAACCAGGTTCTCCAACAGAAAGGGTGCCGGGATCGATCTTGTTGTAGGGTCTGGGTTCCCTTTAGTCCTTGACATCCAGACACATTGGACGCGTGTAGTTTTCCTGGCACAAGGTACCCTTTTTGGGGTTGGTTTAAAGGGAACCTCCTATCAGGCATTCCCTGTCACACATACCCATATCCCCTAGAGGGAAAAAGCAAACGGCCAAGTGAACAGGGCTTTTCGGACACCAGCTACACACATTTCCGACTTTTGTTCAGGGTACGATGTCCAGCCTGTACTAAAAACAAAGGTATTTACCCTGGATACCAGGTTCTCCAACAGAAATGCCACCTAACAAACGGCGCGTATTGAGAGTAGGGGAGCGTTCCTTATGTTGAACCAGGAACCTCTGAAGGTTGTGTGGTGGAGGATGGTCGGTTGACTTGCACTATTGACAACATCCAGCGTCCAGGAAGTTTGATTAAGGGTCCTGCAAAAATCACCATGTTCAAGTCCACCAAACTACTTGCTGGTGCTTAGCAGGGAATGAGAGATGCAATGACCCCTACAAACCATCCAACTCCACCAACCGCTATTGAGGGAGTATCAAACTTCAAAACGATGCCTTTTCTAGCCTTCCGCGAAAGTACGTGTCTCGACACGGGGTCAGCAATGCACTCACCCAAGCCGCGCAAGAAGGGGTGGGAACATGGGTTGCTAGTACCAAGATGGGGGCTGTAAACTAGAATGGGATTGTGGAGTAGTACCAAGATGGGGGCTGTAAACTAGAATGGGATTGTGGAGAGCGTTGAAACCATAGAGCATTGTCTTGGATGACGTTGGGAGGGAAGCAAAAAATCAGTTGTAGGCAGTTAAGTGGGGATGTCAATCACCAAACCACAATAAACCAAAATGTAAAATGCTTCCCAACAACAACCATATAGGAGAAAACCGTGGGTCATATTGGTGACTCTGTTGCCAGTGCGGTGAGGAAAAAAACAACCTGCGGCTTTTTGTTTTTTTCCCGGCATTTCAGCGCCCATTGAAAGGGCAAACATATTTCCAGCCTTCAAAAGGGGAACATAAGACACATGCAAATGGAAGCTTCAGAAAAAGGGACAAAACCTAGAGTCTCCTTCCGAGCCTTTAAAAATAGGTCCATAACCCGAATCATTATTTAGGGCAATGACCAACCATTTTTAAAGGGTCATGGAGACTCCAGGAACGAATCACACTAGGTCCTCCAGTAGAGAGGGTAGAATCAGGGTACCCTTTTTTTCTGTCGTCTTTTTAGTAGGGGAACCCTCCCCAAAAAAAGGGTAAAAGGGCAGTACTGGGGGACCTAGCACATGTCCCTTAGCCCTCAAAGAAATAATTCTGGAGCTACCCATCTTTGAGCTGGATGTTCTGAGGGTCCAGGTCCATTCGAAAGCGAGGCTCCACCACTCTGGCTTGATGTGGAAGTTGAGGTGCAAACCTCGCACAAGGCGCCGAACACTTCGGTGGCCAGAGCGAGGCGGGTCAGAAGCCTCAAAGCCTAACCCGATTAGTCACCACACGCTATCCTCCAGGTTGTACATGGCTTCCCTAGGTTGACATGGCAACTGGACGCTCTGGCTCAGTTGTAACCTACTTTCAGGGAGCCCTTAGATGGTGGTTTGGATCGTTTGGATTTGGAATTGAGGCCTTGGCTCTTGTAGGGGCTACATGGGAAACTTCTCCGGAAAATCCCCAAACCACCAATCCAAACCATCCACACCACCCTCTTAGAGGGAGGCTGACTAACAAGTACCTGGACCCTCAAAATTACAACTTCAATCTGGGTTCTTGTCCCTAAAATTCTGGCCTAGATCGCCAGTTGCTGCTTTTTTCCATTCACTCAAAACCCCAAAAACCGATCGCAACAGTGACTGAAAAAAGAACGATCGCAACTTGGCTATCTATTTCAGTTGGTCGTTTCAGGGTCCCAGGTCCTCAAACCTTGAAATGAGGTCCAACACTTGCCAGGGCCTCTTGCTACCCAGGGACCCCATTTTTCTAGGGCCAGCCTTTAAAACCAAGAGGACAATTGCGGTGACCTGTAGCTGGATCTGTAGGTCTTACCGTGGATGGCTTCCCCTGGAAACACAGTGCGGTGACTAAAGCGCTGGATTGGATGCACTGCCGGAAGTAGGCTGGTAGAGAAAGGGTTGTTGGATTGACCATTGCTCGTTCAACCAAGGAAGACATAAGTAGCCCTGTTTTGGGTTAACCCGTTGAGTACGCAACCAAACGACACCAAAGAAAACAAAGGTTTCAGGGGCTCGCCGGTTTTCCCTGGGCAAGCCAAGAGTGCCTTATAAGTCCTCGGTTGGTTTCTGCGAAGTCCTAAATGTAACTAACTTTTAGTGGTTTCATACGGAAAACCCAAATTCGTTGGCAAAAAGTGAAAGTCCTAACATCCCTTGGCAACATGCGCCAAAGTAAGGGTACCCGATTCTTCTGTTTTTTTTTTTATCTGTCTATATTTTCGGGGAAGCCTCCCCCAAAAAAGTTGGCGCCTAGCTTAAAAGACCTGAGTTTCCCTTTTGAAGCATGACCCACATGCACGGAACCCAAAGCGACCAAGTCCGATGTGGGCTCAAAAAAGAAGAAGAATCGGAACCCCCAACACAATCGAGGCGGAGCCAAAAATGGCTCCGGAAGCCAAGAAGACGAACCCCAGCCCACCCACCTCACCCACCCCACCCACCCCACCCAACCTGCATTTTTGTCGACAAGATCGAGTTCCTTACCCCCGGAGTTGTTCATCACTTTTCGGGGAACCCCAAGCAAGCAAACGGAGAACCCAGCTGAGGCAATGGGACATTCATTAGGTCTAGCACAAAAAGAGCTAGCTTGAAGCTTGAGGGTGGGCCTTTTTTTTAGGGTTCCCCCAAAAATGGTGGATGTCTTACTGGTGTCCCTTTAAAACCGCCCACAAAGGCCAGGTACAAAAGAAACCAAAGCAGGCAGACCCTCAGCCCGGGCCCTGGTGCTTCGGAATGACCCCAGACTTCTGAAAAGGGGGCAGGTACCTCTAGGCCCCCTGAAAGGGCTTGGTTGAAGAAATCATATTTGCGGCTCCGGAAAAGACGAAAGCTGCAGAGAGTGTGCATTGGACGAATTGTGCCTGTGAACTCACTTGTCCAAATTGACCTTCTGACCTTTTATTGTTCCAGGTGCCTAGAAAAAGTTGCTGTTTTTTCAGACACTGTTGCGATCGCATGGAAAAAAGCGATCGCAACTGGCGATCCAGGTGGGCTTTATCACGATATCCTTTACTTGGAGTTTAGGTATCGTACCTGGCCCATACTGAAAGGGTCCACCTAAATCTCAAACAACCCATACAACAATTCACCAACCATAGTTTTGGGGGGATAACCAAGTTTTAAGGAAATTGTGCGGGTCCAGGCATATTTCAAAGCCCTTGTCCAACTACAGGGGCCAAACAACAATCAGCAAAATGTTGTGCGCCACCAACAAAACAAACGTTATGACCATCTCACTTGCCCAAAGGACCTGAAGAAAAAGAAAAAAAAAAAAAAAAACAGGCTTCACCTTCCGTCACCTTTCCCAAAAGTGCAGCAAACCAACACCAACAGGTTTTTCCAAAAACAGACTTGAGCCCGCCCCCTCTTTCCATGCCAAGCGGACTTGGTCAAATTTTGACAGACTACTGCCCTCAAGAGATCTCCTCCACTATGAGTGTGGCAAAACAGGAGGAAACCCAAAACCTGTCCGTGTCAAGGGGCAACTCCTCTTCAACAAAACTGGATCCGTTTTTTTTTTTCCTCCGGCTGAGTCTGATTTGGTGGGCGATCTTGGTGGCTTGTCACGGCAAAAGAAAGACAAACAGACTACCCGGAACCTCACACTACACTAACAAAAGGGATTTCACCAACCATCTTTTTGGGGCTACGAGAGCACATTTTCAGGGTAGATTGAGGGTCTAGGTACATAAAGTGTTTTAAAGGGCAAGCAATCAATGCGAGTATGGAGGCACCAAGAGTTTACCCACAGGACCGAGCCTCAATATTCCAACAAAGAAACATCCAATGAGTTGCCTGCCCCAAAATGATGGGATGGGTGAATTGCAACCTCATTTTTGGGGTAGATCTTATCCAAGTCAACCTCTCAAAACAAGAATAAGCAACACGACCTTCTGGGGGACTTCACCGTATACCCCCTACTCCAAATATATTTGCAGTGTGTGTTTACAATCTGGTTTTTCAGGGTAAATACCTCCTTTTCTCTTAAGCCTGGACCCTCAAACTACCCTGATCACAGGGGAACTCGCCCCATAATTTTGGACAATCACTTATCTTTGTAAGGAATTTTGAGGATCCAGGTGGATCATACCCTACAAAACAGGTGGGTATTGTACGGCTACGGGACACGTTCCGCTCCCCATTCGCTCCCCATTCGCTAGATGGAACGGAGGTGCCGTTCATCTCGTACCAGAAGTCCTGAGGCCAAAGACATGGGAAACGCCGAGGCACCAATCCCCCGTGCTCTAAACCTGGATCGCCAGGTGCGATCGTTTTTTCCATCCACTGTACCCCAAAAACTGATCGCAACAGTGACTCAAAAAAGCGATCGCAACTTGGCTATCTAGGCACTTGTTGCAGGCTATGGATAGGGTACCTGGATCGCCAAGTTGCGAGAGCTGTTTTCATTCACTGCCTTCTTTTTGAGTGCATGGAAACAAAACGGCAGTAACTGACGATGATGTTATTCCTTGACGATAAAAAAGGGATCGGCATTTGCTTTGGGAAAGCCGATCGGCTCAGAAATGCCCTTTAACACGCGGGTACAAGCAGGGGCTCCCAGTTGCAAGGCTATGAACATACCTGGGTGGCCTCTCTGGACCATGGGAGAGCTACGGTGAGATAACTCCCTAAATGGGCTTGTCCTGTTTTGGGAGTTGGTGCCTGCACCCGAAAGAACTACCAACTCCCCTCAGGGGTGACTGGATCGCCAGCAGCGATTGGAATTTTCCATCCACTTGACCCCAAAAACCGATCGCGACAGGAGGGTCATCGCCAAAAATGGCGGCTGAAATCCGTTCTCTTTGTTGGGGGGGTTGTTCTTTCGGGTCCAGAGGGAAACCCAAAGGGACAAAAAATCCGTCGCGCCTTTTCGGAGGCCCCCGAAATGCGACACACGCCACTGGAGTCGAAGATCAGTGAAGCAAAAATGATGGGTCAGCCTACCTGGAGTCTCCTTCTGAACCCTAGAAAAAGGGGTCATGACCCCTTCATTTTGCTTAATGACCAACCATTTTTAAAGGGTCAGAAGGAGACTCCAGGTACCCCCAAAAAAAAGGTTCGGCTCATGTCAACCTTTTTGTTGATTGAGGTCAGCAGGAGACTACAGCAATTAACCACCCATTTAGATTTCCAAGGGTGGAAATGGAATTCTGGTTCAAACCGGGCTTCCAAAGCCCAGTCATTCTTGGTTCCGGCCACGAAATAAACATTTGAAAGTTCGAACGAGTGGTTTCGGACAAGTCACTCATCTGGGCAGGATAAATCCAGAAAGCACCACAAGGATTTGGATCCCCAACATCAGCAGGCCCTATTCCAAACACCTGTTTGTTAAAAGGTATGTTGTCAACCCTGACCGAAAAGGGAGGTGGTTTGCCACGAAAGACCGGTTTCTTTCATAATTTGCCCTAAACAAATGCGGTTTCTTGGAATTGTTTCCTAAACCGAGCGGGTTTTTTGGAGTAGGGGGGGATCGATTTTTTACGCACGAACCAAATTCGGCATCCGAACACCTCGCGTTCCAGTCGTCGAAACCGTCAATGTTCGGCGTTCGGAGCTCCATAGTTTACTAAACCTTCGCCACTCATTTGGGTGATCGGGCCAACATCTGATAGCCATACACAAGAAAGGGAACTCGCCCATCTCATCATTTTGGGGTGCAATAGCCAATTGTTACGTTGGAACCCTCAAAGCTACTCCAAACACCCTCTTGTTTTTGGGTTTGGTAAAGAGATGGAATTATGCCGCGAACAAAGTGCCAATTGAAACCCCATGTTCAGAGGACTGACTTCCTGAATTAATTAGCCAACAACAGCAACCCAGCTCTTTTGCCACTAAATGATCCAAACCCAAAAAGATATCTAAAGGGCACCCCCCAAGACATGGTGGGCTTTCTCGTTAGTCCGCCTACTAAAAACCCAACAACTGCTGCGCAATCTATGGAATCCCTAACAAGGGTAGGTAGGGGCGGTAGCTGGGAGATCTAGGGCTCCTTCTCCTTAGGGTTCCTTAAGGCTCCTTCTTGGTTGACGTTGGGTTTGGGGCGCAACAATTCTCAAATTTTAGCAGGTAAGTGGTGAGATTCAACCACTAAACCACAAGAAGCAAGAATGATTCAAATGTTTCCCAACAACAACCAAGCCTGAGTTCCTTCGAAATCCTTCGGGTTCTTTAGAAATCCTTCGGGTTTTTGAGGGTTGCTTTGGGATTTTGAGGGTTCCTTCCAGGTCCTTCGGGCTTAGGGTCTTTGTTTAGGGAGCCTCAGGGATCCGGATGCAATAGAAACACCGATCGAACGTTGCAGCTTGTAAATGGTGGTGTCCAACTTTATTTTGGTGAAAAAGAAACAGGTAACTCAAATGGTTGCAACATGGAGATCTTTTAAGGAGCCCTGTTCAGGGACCCCCCCAAAAGGACCACCCCGCCGAAAGGAGGATTAAATGGCGATGCCTCGATGCCGGAGCCGCTCCCGTCCTGCATGGCGTTGCACTCCTCCCAGGTGGAGTCTGCGTCGGAGCAGCTGCAGCCCAGCCGGGCGATGGGGATCAGGAAGAACCTCACGCGCCGGGCGCTGAGCGCACCGCAAGATCCCCAAGATGGGGTTATCTTTTTTTGTGTTGGTTTGGTGTCGTTGGTTGTTTCTTTCTTTTTGATTGTTGTATTTTTTTCTTCTCCGTTTTTTCGCCAGAAATGGGTAGCGGTCTCCGTTTTTGGAATAGTTGGCTGCCTCTAAACCTGAAACATGTGCCTGAACCCTCAAAATATACCGACTTACAAAATGGCTGCAACGTGTTACAGCAACCGGAAATTTGTTTGGTGGGTCCAGGGGCTTGTTTTTGCTTTGCCCAAACGGGGCCCGCTTGGATGTTCGGTTCGCCGAGCTACCTCCATTGGAGTGAGAGGGTTGGGGACTTTTGCGTAAACAACTGTAAACCAAGGGAGGCGGCGCAAACACCAATGGCTTAAACATGGCTGTGGCTCAAAAACCCGGTACCAAAATGGAACCCTGGTAAGTGGAAGCATGGACCAAAACCTGCGTAACCCCTCCTGTTAAATTTTGAGCCACACCCACATGATTCTAGAAGGTAGATCTCAAAACGGGCGTGTTGCGGGCCCAAGATGCTTAGGCGGGATTCTACACAAATCCTTTGGATAGGCGAGGCTATACGCTTACGCCATTGTCCGTGCCTTGTGGTGCCCGGGTGACGTGTTGAACAGGGAGGGTCTGAAAAAAAGAGACATGAATCCATCCATCCCCAGTTTTGATTGGTGGTTTGCCAGGGAGGGGCTGGTTTCCCATTTGCGTCCGGGGTTCAAGTCCAAACCAACTCCAAACCACCCGCGTGGTACTTGAGAATGCCTGGAGTCTCCTTCTGACCCGAAATTAAAAATAGGTCCATGGCCCGAATCATTTAGGGCAGTCTGACCCACCACTCTTGATTCGGGTCAGAAAAGGAGACTCTAGGTGCCGGTTTTACCATGGGCCACCTTCCCTTTGCCCCAGGGGTCTTTCCAGAGGTCTCAACCACAGAGACTAAGGGAAAGGCACACTGGGGGAACTAGATGGAGCCCAACCATTCTTTGATTGGCTTCCACAACTTCAGGGGTACCAACTTTTTGTCAGTCTATTTTAGGGGAACCGAATCTCCCGACCAAAGAAGAAACGGTACAGGTTGGCTCCAATTGCTGCGGGACCTAGGTGGAGCTTCCCAGCGCCCCCCCCCCCCTCACCCCCGAGAGTCCAAGACACGCCAGCAGCACGAACCTGGGGCAAAGTCGCTAAGCTCAACAAGCGGCATTCCAGGGATCCGAAACTTTCCGGAAAATTATCAGAACCCCAGAAAAAAAAAAAAAAACACAGCTGGTTTTTGAAACGAACGACGGTTGAAAAGAATGGGGAAACAACCCCTAGAAGCATGTCAACCGGCTGGACGTCCACCCCCGGCAGGAGGAAAACCCAAAAGCCTTCTTTTTCTGCGCCAAGGCCTAGGGCCCAATCCAAGTACCTAGATCCTCCCATGGGCTATTGCAACCCAAAGTCATGGGTGAATTCGCCCTCTTTGTGGTTCTTTCAGGTCCAGGTCAGACAAACAAGCAGCTACAAGCAGAGCCTTTTGGAGAGAGGCAATGTTACCCACATCGGGATAGAACGTTCCGAAGCAGATGAACATACTGGATCGCCCATCTAAGCGAAGGCCAAGCGCGCAGCGACAGTCAGAAGTACTTGGGTTCCCCGAGAGTTTCCTGGTGTGGCAAAGTTTCGAGCTCGTACCCCACGCGCCTCGCAAATGGAAAAGGGGACGACTGAACATCAGTAGCGTCAGCACTGTTTTCTTCATGCTGGCCTGCGACCACAAAAGCCTCCAGCAATAGGGCCCTTTTTGAATAACCACCCAGAACCTCAAACTACCCTTATTGGGTCCTCCCGACTTCCCATAAGTTAATTGTTTGACTTGCTGGTGCTCAGGGAATGAAGGCATGAACCTGGGAATTCCCTTAAAGGCAACCAAATTGAGGATGCTCTCTTGTTTTTTCGTGGGTCATTCCCTCATTTCCCGAATTTAATGGGGAGCCAAATGCTTTCCACTCAGTCTTTGCGCTCCAAAATGAACCGTGACCCGCAACTCTCACACATTTCCTTGATGCTGGCTTGGATCTGTAGCCTTTGGGAACATGCTTATCTGCCTGGAATGCTATCGGATCTGTAACCTTTAAGAACATGGTCTAATCTTCCCACAAACCTGCGAGAAGTGTAAACATATTATTATTGCCATGTATTATCTGGAACATATATTATTACCAACATAAACCTCCTAAAAAGTTACTTCAATACCAAATAATATGTTAAGGAACAAATATGTTCAGGGGGCAAAACTAATAACCTTAATCATTATAGAACAAATATGTTATTAACATAAACCTCCTAATAGATCAGCCCTTAAATCATAACAGTTACGAACAAAGAACAAATAAGGGCTTAAAATATGTTACCATTACCAATTACCACAAATGTTAACTTACCTCGATATTTGTCCTTATTTGTTAACATTACCAACAGAATCTGAGGGCTCAAAAGTCGCCATCAAGCTCTATAGGGGCTTCTTGAGGCCTCCCAAGCTCGGAACATCACCTTTTCGGTACCACAAGTCTTTGGGACCTAAAAACATTCCTTCTTTTCTCAAGCCCCCTGGGAAAACAGTTCCAGAACCCATCTTCCCTTTGCTTTTCCCGCGCCCTGGAAAAAACATCAAAAATCCAGTAATAATAGATTCCAACTTTTAAAATGAACAAGGAAAAACTAATAAGATTCTTAAGCAAATGGAAGTAGAAGTGGTTGCCACAAGGGGAAACCAAAAGGTGATGTCAGGTCGATTCGCTTTGGGCAAGTGAGGTGGTAACTTGGCCTGTCTCAACATAGTGGAAACCCTTGTGAATTTGGTTGTCAAGGAAAACCAAAAGGAGACCAACCACCTGTCCGGCGCCTCCAAATTTGAGACATCCATTTCCAAATGAAACAACAAATCCCCCCCCCAGTCCTTTCTTCCTTTCTTCAGAACTCCTGACTGAAAAGGGATCGCTATTTACCATTTACCACGGAATACCGATGCACGGTTTTTAGGGTATGTTAACTAAGCAGGAGTTGTATTTGCCTGGAAAACCGATCGGTTTTCAACACAATAGAAACAAGTGGTTTTACCAGTAATGTTCACCCCATATGAATCAACCCCAGCTTTTTAATAGGGGGGTGTTCCCATCCAAAAGTCTACTAAACCCAGTTTGGACACCTCCCCTAATTGAATGAACAGGTTGGTTGATTCATATGGGGTCAACATTAGGAGGACTACGCACGCACACACACACACACACGTTGTAGGCACGAAACCGTGCTCCCTGAGTCAGTTGCACCCTCGCCGAACCTTAGGCCCAAGAAGCCAGTTCAGTACGAAGAGGGAGAAGAAGTGCCCCACCATCCTGTGATACCTAGGTACCAACTTTTTCCTGTAGTCTATTTTAGTAGGGGCACCCTCCCCCAAAAAAGGGTAAAATGGTACTACTGGGGGACCTAGAAATGGTCTTGCAAATCCAAGGGTGAGACCCGCCCCTGCAAGTGGGAAAACATGGAAACTGGTGCTGACCTGTCCTTTCGAAGGCGTACCTAGACCCTTAAAACTGCAACTTAAAAATGGGCTATGGCCCCAAACATATGGTTGGCGAATTCCAATGTGTTTGGGTAGTTTGAGGCTGTTGGTACGCTTTTTTGGGGTTGGCCAAAGCCATACCAATCCTCTTTTGTTTCTGCGGGGGTGAGGGGGTCCTATTATGAGACAAACCCACCTGCAAATGCCTCGAACGAATCGGTCTTGTGGTTGGTTTCGCACTTCTGATCCTAGCGCATTGCCACCAACGTCTACCCGTCTACCGCAAACTACCCAAGAAAAGCGAAATCACCCCACAATTTTGGGGGCTACAACCCATCCCATTTATCAGAGATTTTAAATTTTCAGGTCAACTTGTTGGTCTGCCCAATGATTCCAGTTCCCACTACCTGGGGCTTCCAAAAATCAATGTGTCGTAACCGTGTAAATATCCAAGTCCTTTTTCAAGGCTTGACGTCATACCCTAAAACCCCTGGGTCTTCCATGGTGAATGGGAAATACGAATCTCTGTTTCGTCTATGGTAGGCAACCGAAAACTTGCCAGTCGAAAGAAAAATGGATCGAAGGGGGACCTAACGCCTGAGCCGGGTGGCACTAACATGGTCTTCCCAGCAATGGCTTGGCTTGGCTGGAATTGGGACCAGCAAACACAAGTTTTGTCTAGTTCATGAGTGGAAAACCAAGGGGGCCTCAAAAAAGCAAAAAAACTAAAGGGCAGTCATTCTGGGGAAGTTTCTATGGGATTGTTGAGGGTCCAGGCAAACCGTTCTAGGTATTTGGTCTTCCCGAAAAGTTATATTGTGCAAGAACTCAGGGAGTCAGTTTTGGTTTCCCAATTCACCCGCATCAGACGCACCCTCCATTCCCAATTGAAGGGGTCCAGACGTTCATTGGCCAAAAGGCCTTCTGAAGGGCCCGTGAGACATGCTTAGGCTAAAGACCTACCAAAAAGTTCCACTCATTGGGTTGCAACTACCTGCTCCAAATACCCGTTTTTTCTCGGGATCATGTCAACCCCTGACTAGCAAAGGAAATGTTATTTGGAGAAGGTGGATACTGAAGACAACACCCAACTCTGAACAAGTCGAGCCGCCTCGCCATCACCACGATGATGCCGAAAAGCACCGTGAGCCTCGGTTGGATTCTTCTTGAGACATGGCAAGTTGGGGCCATTTGTCCAAACCCTCAAATCACACACGGGGGTTCCAATCCCAGATCCTGCTACCCAACATCCCCCCACCGAAGAAGGGGGAGGGGGGTGGGGGGAAACTGGGTTGCCATAAATGGACATCTCCACAAGTCACCCCCATCCCCCCATTTCCCCATTTTGTGAGTAGTGGGACTACCCCAACTACAGTAGTAGGTAACCCTTCCATCCATTTTACTCTTGGTTTCAAAGGGTGGAAAGCCCTTGGTGACCTACAGAGCCAGCAAACGGAATCACTGGGAGCACAAACCCCTGGTTTCCGAGTGGCACCCCCTTAGGGATGATGACAACCTCTTGGTCAACAATGGTGGTTCTACGAACCTCGGTTGCTTTCTGCGAAGCCCTGCTAAAAGTGAATAACTTTTGGTGGTTTCATGGAAAACCCATTTGTTGGCAAACAGAATAAAGTCCTAACATCCAAGCAAAACATTCCTTCAAGGGTGGTAACTAAACTGCAGGGCCAGAAACGTCATCCTTTTAAGATGGCTTCCACCTACCCCCAAACCGAACCACCACCCCCAGCTTTTACATCGGGGGCATATTCCCCCTAATACAGTGGCGCCGGCTGAGGCCCTGAAAGCTCGGGGGGTAGCTTGGGTTTCAGGACAGGGGGTATCCTTCGCTGCGAGCCAAACATATCCGTCGTGGATGTTCGCGGCCCGCTTTTCTTGCTGGTGCTCAGGGAATTGAGAAATGGAATGACCCAGAGAAACCATCCATCTGCTTTCTTGCTGGTGCTCAGGGAATTGAGAAATGGAATGACCCTTAGAAACCATCCATCTGGTGTTTTCCTTGAAGGGACCAGGTTCATTCCCTCATTCCCTGAGCACCAAGTTCATTCCTTGGGGTTCCTTCTTCGTTCAAGGGAGCCTTGCCCCTTGGAGCACCCCCCCCTGTGCAAATGCTCGTTCTGCTTGCTTCTGTCCATGCTTGGTTGGCGGCAAAAGACTTTGTTCAAGTTGTCCTCTGGGTGAAACCGCTGACGTTTGACCGAAGCACATGCACACCATACCGCAACTACCCGCCCGTTTTTTAAGCGTATCATGTCAACCCCTCACTAAGAAAGGAACCACCCTGGATAGCCAAGTTGCGATCGTTTTTTTCAGTCACTGGTCTCCCTTTGGCTGATTCCTTTCGAAGCCTCAAAAAGGGATACCCTGGCCTTCGAAGCCTAAAAAAGGCAATTACCCTGGCCATCATGGGAAAAAACATGGAAAAAAAACGCAGCCCTTGGCGATCCAGGCTGCTTTGGATGTCCCGAAAGGAGCCCCGCAAGTGTCATGAACTCGAAGCGGAACTCTCTCGGTTGAGACCTGGAGTCAGCCTGGAAACAGAACCGCCTGGATTGCCAGGTGCGGTTGCCGCTTTGTTTCCATCCACTCAAAACCCCAAAGACCGATCGCAACAGTGACTGAAAAAACACCACAACTGGGCTATCCAGGAGTTGTTCCAGGGTTCTTGGAGACTTCAGCTAAGTATCGGTCACGGGCTCTCAAAACGGCCTTTTTGAGTTGTCCAAAACCCAAACCAATGGCGACCCCTGCAGTGGAGGGCCCGATGATGGGTAGGGTAATTGCCCTTTTTAGGGTTTGTTCAAAGGAACTCCAAAGGGCCACCTGGATCGCCAGTTGCTGCTTTTGTCCATGCACTTTACCCCAAAAGCCAGCAACAGTGACTGAAAAAACAGCAACTTGGCAATCTAGGCACATTTGTCAGGTCCCCGAAAAATGAATCCGATGCGAGGCACAATCGAAAGACCCCGGCCATGCGGGTCGAGTGCTCGCTGCCGATGAACCCCAAATTCGCCACATTGTCCTCAGTCGGGCGAATGAAACACCAACCAACCATGGGCGCGCAAAGGACCTCCATCGGACCTCTTTTCAAGCGCCTTCTTGTGGCCCGCGAACGATGCTTCGGTTTTGGCTTAAGTATGGGTCCAAGTGGGGGGGTATTTGTTTTGAGGGTACGCGGACCCTACTACCCCATTAAAAAAAGAGTTCATCCCACAAGTTTGAAGCAATCTCCTAACATAATTTCGAGGGTCCCTTGATGGGGTGGATTTGAACAGAAACCAAAGAAAAATGCGGGGTAGGTCAATCAAACCCAGAGGGTCCCTTACGTGAAATTTACGGATGATCTGTATGCGAATCCCCGTTTTCACCAAACCCAAAACCGTAAATATGGGGCGCGGGTCAAGCAAACGGAACTGTGGGATGCTTGAAATCGAGGCATCCGCTTCTGGCACCACGAAACGAGTCACAGTGGTTGAATCCACAAGGTTTGTTATGGTGTTTACGTTGATTGGAATCATCATTAGGTTTCCGAAAATGTGGTGCCAAGGTTTGTTGGTATTTCCGTTGAGGTTGGAATGATCATCGGGTTTCCGAAATGTTGGTGCGAAGGTTTCTTGGTATTTACGTTGGTTGGAATCATCACAGGCTTCGCAAAATGTCGGGTGCAAAATGGATCTAGATAGCTTTTTTTTTCAGTCACTGTTGCTGGCTTTTGGGGTAAAGTGGGTGGAAAAACACAAAAACAACTGACTGGCCGATCCAAACGGCAGAAACTTGCCCCCGACCTAAAGACCCTGGATCGCCAGTTGCTGTTTATTTGTTCCATGCGCTTCACCCCAAAAAACCGATCGCAACAGTGACTGAAAAAACAAAACGATCGCAACTTGACTATCTAGTGACTGGCGATCCAAACGGATGGCTTGGGATCCCCCGAGCCTAGCGACGTGGCTCGCGACGTTTCGCGTCGTTTCGCTTGCGGCTGGAGCTGCGTGAAGGAAGTAGAAGGCCGTGAGGGCCAGCGTGACCAGCATGTCCCAGATCAGGAAGCCCAGCACCATCTTGCGGTTCACGCCTTGGGCAGAAGAAAAACACAAAAAAACGGGGGGGGGGGGGGAAAAAACACATGCAAGACCCAAAACAGGATTAGGTCCTCCAGCAGAGAGGTTAGAATAAGGCTACCAACTTTTTTTTCTGCAGTCTGTTTTAGTCGGGAACACTTTCCCAAACAAGGGTAAGCGGGCACTACTGGAACCAAGGCGAAGACCCAAAACAGGAGAGCTGGCCCCATCTTCCCTTTGTTTTGTCCGCCCCCTGGGAAACATGAGAAAATATGTCCAGTAGTGATAGATTCCAACTGTAAAACCAACTAAGGGAGAATTAAAAATATGATTAAGCAAATGGAAACCATTTGGGGCAATCACTCATGTTTAAGAGTATGGTCAGGGCATGTTACTGATGCGGCACCTAGCAAAACAGTTGACCCCAATATTTGTGGGGCAATAACTCATGTTTAAGGGTATGCTTAGGGTCCGGGCAAACACTATTTGCTTGCTGCAAGGAAACCATGGAAGCCCAAAAAGGACAAACATAGACAGGTATATTACATCTGGAGGAGCGAACAAAAACGCAAAGGATGAAACGGGAGGCATGTTGAGAGCCCTAAGCAGACAGGAAGACGCACTTGTTTAAACAACCAGACCCGCTGTGGTTCTCCTTTGAAGGGGGAGCCACACAAAATTGCTTCAACAGCGGGCGTTTAAAAGTGCTTCAGCAGGGTCTTCCAATCTTGAAAGTGGATGTCAGACCGAGCCCTTACTTAAAAGAAGGCACAGAATTGTCACCTCGCTTCAAAGGTGTTGGACCTCCCTTGAAAGCGGGACTTTGGTTGCCGTCGCCACCGCTTGGGCAGAAAATGTCACTTTAGCAATGGACCAGTCATGGTGGAGATCCTTGTGCGAGTATAGGGAAAATGAAGAATTGGCGTCCCTCTAGTAGGTGGCTTGGGGATATGAACCCGTGGTGTTTATAGAGGGTAAATGGGTTTCACCGCCCAGCAACACCACCCAACCAATCCAAACCACCAACTAAGGATTGCCTGAAAGAACAAATCTACCGCAACTTGCCAAAACGTGCGATGTCTGGCGTCCAACCAAGTGGCGTCATCATATGTACGTCAGCGTATGATAGGGAGAATCCCTGATGGCTGTGAAGCCGCAAGGCTTCCAGTGAGAAAAATGAGACCGGCGCCTTGTGGATGTTAGGGAAACGCATCATCACTATCAACATCACCATCACCATCACCATCACCATCACCACCATCGCCATCACCATCACCAGCATCATCTTTCTAGCCCGAATGGCCGAGGACCCTCAAAATACCAAGCTAAAAAACGGTGTGAGCATGTAGTCTGAGGCTTCAGGTACCTAGTTCTGGGGGGCTTGAAGGGAAACCCAAGGGCCACTACCAGTTTTTTTGGGGGCTTGGCGGGGGGGAGGGGGGCGGTGTCCCAAAAAAAGGCTCACCACTGAAAAAAACTCATGTACTCCTGTCTCCCTTTCAGATTGTTACAGTGGAGCCATAACAAGGAGAGACATCGCAATCGAAGAGCGACGAGGGGGATCAACAAACATTCGGTTGACTCCCCCATTGCTACTGTGGAGGGACGAAATCTCGCACCACGAATGTAGCCATGGTTGAAACCATTGCTTGTTGATATTTACAGGGGAATCAAATCATTCCAGGATGTCTGACTTTGCGGTCCAGGATGTTGTCCACCCTGAGAATGTCCCTTTCTAAGCTTTCCTCACCCGGGCTTTCCCCAAACAATACCCTGCGTTAAAAGAATGATTCGCGCAACCTAGATGATCACAATCTTTAGCGAAACAACTGTCAGTGGAGAAATATATGAACATATAGTCATTGATTTATTGGTGGATTGCACCCCATGGCAACCCGTGACGCATCGTTCACAGGCCCTCCTTAGGGCCCCCAGGTGCCAAACCAAAACCAATGGGATCGGTCCCTACCCATTGATTGTCATAGGCGTCCGTTTTTTGGGCCAAACAGATGGATATCCCTGGTAGATGAGAAAAAACCCACCAAGTAAACCAGGAATCGCCATCTATGTTTCACCAAAACAACCAAAAAGGAAACCTATGATGGTTGTATGAATCCTCTGTTTTGGTGGAAACTGAATCCCGTTGAATAATAAAGTCTGAAAGTTCAACTCAGGGAGTCGGTGCAGCATAAGCTTGGCAGGGCGAGAACACGAGCCTCAACACTGGAAACCGCTTTTGCAAGCGCAATCAACAAACAAAAACATCGGATCTTTCCAAAAGGGTGGGGTCAAGCTATAAAAGAAAAAAAACAGTTGCTTTGTTGACAGCCACTTTGGGCGAAAATGATTCGGGAAGCCTCAAAGAGCTGAAGGTTGCAATTCAAAGAATACGCGGTTGCATATCAAAGTCGGGCGTCTTTAGGCAGAAACGGACAAATGGGGGGGGGAATGACTCAAGGTAGGCATGGAACCTTTTGAATTGAATTCAATGCGGTGCCAGGCACCAAAATCTTGAAAAACACAAGCCTTTTTGCGTGGACCCTCGACATTCCAATCTAAATGGGTATTGCCCCAAGAATATGGTTGGTGAATGCCCTGTTTTCAGGGGTACTTTGAGGGTCCAGGTACAACCTTGTCAGACCAAACGGGCCCCTTGTCGAGGGCCCTTTTTTTCAAAACCTTACACTGAAAATGTCTCCCCCTGAAGGGCCTAAACACATCAGGAGCCTCTGGGCACTCCGAATCCCCGCCTTTTGAGTTGGTCTTCTTTTTAGAAAAAGCGCGTTCTTGTGGTGTTTTTCTCCGGGCAAAATACCAAATCCGGCTGCAAAATCCGCCCGGTACTGTCCAAATCCCGTGTGCTGGTTGGCTTTGGATCTGAAGGCTGGGAGATCCGTTCGGTCGTTTTCGTGCGAAAAATGATTCGTGGAAGAACGGGGAGGAGAAAACCGCCTTCGAACCAACACAGTTGCAACCAGTTTGGACCCAAACAATGCGATCAGCTTTCTGTGTTCGATTCGCCAAGTTAGGAAGGAAGAGGTTCGGGACCTACCTGGAGTCTCCATGACCCTTTAAAAATAGGTCCATGACCCCATTATTTAGGGCAATGACCCCATGTTTAAAGGGTCATGGATACTCTAGGTAGGTAATATCCCACTGATAAACCTCAAGTGGGGAACAAACTCAATCAGTGAGGCACCCAGAATCGATTACACACCACTTGGTTGCTGAAACGACTCTGCAAAACGTGATTCAATGGAAACCCGCTGTCCCAAAGGTTAAAGTTGAAAGGTCCAACCCACTGGTTTCAAGACTTACCTAGTCTCCTTCTGACCCTTTAAAAATGGTTGGTCATTGCCCTAAACAATAGGGTCATAGACCTCTTTTTAAAGGGTCAGAAGGAGACTCCAGGTGCAAGCCTCAAGTGGAGGCATTGCCCACTAACTTATCGAACATCCACCTGGGCCCTTAAACTACCAACTTCAAAATGGGGGTTTCACCCATTCCAAAAAGCAAATGTTTTAGCTAAAACCCAGTTTTTAAGGCAAATGGGACGTTTTTCGAGGCTCTTTTTCGGGCACTCGTTCCATCGCTTTTCGTAGTGCCGCGGTACGGTCCATGAGCGCATTGGAGATCTGACGCACACATCGAATCCCAGAGAGGCTGTTGAACCAGACCTGGGCGCCGTGTTTTTTCTGCAAGCGCGGCGGTTTTCTTTGGCGAGAAAATCGACCACCTGAGTCACAATCAAAACCCGGGGATTGATGAATGTTCGTAAGGGACGATCCCCTTGCCATAAATAGCTGCGGATATCCGCCTTCTTAGTTCTTGAAGCATGGTTCTGGGTCGACCATTTTTGTACCGGATTTTGATTGTGGCTCACCTGGAGTCTCCTTCTGACCCAGGCAAAAAGGGGTTCATGACCCGAACCATTTTGTTTGGGTAGTCTGACCAAGCATTTTTCTTTAGGGTCCTTAGGGAGACTCCAGGCCATCACTTTCTGGCGGGTTTGGAGCCAACCACTTCTGTCTCCAGGGCATTGGACCTATAGGAACTTGGATCTCAAGACTGGATCTTCAGCTTTGCCCAAGAAAACCTCAACTTGCTTCCCTCGAAAAGAAGCAACCTGCACCCAAGATACCCAAAAAGGGAATTCTCACCCCAGTCACCCAGTCCATTTTTCGGTTGTCACTCGGCCCCGGAAGCCGAAATTAGAAGGGTTCCCTCCAAACACCGCGCTGGAACGGTTCCCTCCAAAAACCGCGCTAGCTTGTTTTAGAAGAGCCCCCAGGAAGTGTCTTCAAAACGCCGAAGGAACAGCACCATTTTGTGGCGTCCAACCCCCTTTTCTGTTTGCAAAAAACATCGAGTTCCACTCCACTTTGGGCGATGCCTTTCTTTGTGGGTAGCTGGGTCCAGGTCGGCCTGCTCCTGGAAAACTCCGCGGGGTGTTCCCTGCTCCTCAAAATTCCAACTGAAAAACGGGTTGCCCCAACATTCTGGGGTGAAACCCTATATGCTCAAGTTCGTACTTCGAGGGTCCAAGTATCTACCAACTCAGATACTCAGTGGCCATGTGAAAAAAGTGCATCTTTTCTTTAGTCGAGTTCAAAGGAAACAAAAAAAAGGAACCCTTGGGTTGCAACCGAGCCTATCAAAAAGAAAGAAAAATAGAAACAAACAACAAGACAAAAAATAAAACAAACAAATAAGGACACACAATTCACCAAACAATAGCAAACAAAACAGAACAAAAAGAAGAAAACACAACAATTACGAAAAAAAACACAACACACAAAAATGCAACACAAAAAACGGCGAACCACCTCCACCGAGGAGCCCAGGACTTCTTGGCCCTCTCCTTGATCCCCTCCGGGTCCTTTGGCTTCTCCTCCTTCGGCTCGGAGAGCGCCGCTTTCGGCTCCGGCGCGTCCGAAGCCGCGTCCTGAGGAATTCGCGTCGGGGTCGGGGCGACCGTCCGAAGAAACTTCGAGCGGGGGGAGGGGGAAGTTTTCAGGTTTTTTTTTTTTAGTTGGAAGGCTGGCACACTTTCGGTCCCCATGCCTTGAGACTTCTGCTCTTCTTGAGCAGTGCAACCACCTGGAGTCTGCGAGTCTGACCCGAAATGAAACATAGGTCCATGACCCGAATCTTTTTTTGGGGGAGTCTGTTCCACCATGTTTCATTCGGGTCAGAAGGAGACTCTCGGCTGGGTTGTAAAGCATGTGGTCTCAGTTTCTGGGAGTTGTTTTCTGATCCCAAAAATCCGGCCTCCTGGGGCCTGAGCAATAAGTGTCTCGTTCAGCACTTTCAAGATCCTCTGGATGTGAAAAAGAGGCTCCAACTCGATGTATTTAGGGCCCGATGTCACCTGGTTGTGAGACCCCCAAACGTTTGGTCCGCAGGGCGTCCAATACTTCGGGACCCGTCCGGGTCTTCCATAGGCCGAAGCAAAGGCTAGCCGATCGGAGCCCTTGGGTTGATTTTGATTGGGGGGGGGGGTTCCCTCCGAAAGCGGCCCGTCTCTCAAAACCAACCTGGGGTTCTACTTAGATCCGGCTTCCCACTACCAAGGCCAACAGGGGAAGAACAAAAAAAGTAAACAAAACATCAGCAAATGGATGTCCAAAACTTAGCCTCCATTTGCTTAAGTCCCCTGGAAAAGAAAGAAACACATATCCAATAGTGATAGATTCCGGTTCCAGCCAACAGGGGAAAATGAACAAATATCCCTTAACCAAATCTAGGTCCTCCAGTAGAGAAGTTAGAACAAGGGTACCCGTTTTTCCGTAGTCTATTTAGGGGAACCCTCCCCAAAAAAAGTTGTCAAAAGGGCACCTAGCTGGTATCCCTGAAAACCAATTGCCAATAGGGGAAAATAATCAAAAAACAAACAAAAAACTTAACCAAATGGAAGTTCCATGGAACTTTGAGGCTCAACCTCTGAGCTCACCGCCGAGTCCTTCGGCTTCTCCACATTCTCCGTCTTCGGCTTCTCCGAGGGCACACCTGACAGGAACCGAAGCCCTAGCCACCGAAGAAACCGAGTCGCCGCAATTTTGTTCGCTTTCGCAAGTGATGGCCCCAGGAGCCCCAGGCTCTGGGTAAGAGCTTCTTGTGGTTTAGTGGTTGAAATCCAACCACTGAACTGCTAAAATTGAAATGATTTTTTTTGCTCCCCTTCCAACGTCGACCAAGTAGCAATGAAGAAACACCAACCAGAAAGCTTCACTCCCTGAGTGAAGTTTCGGACAAAAACTTCTGCCTGGACCCTCAAATCCATAAGGACACATCACTCAAACATGTGGCCGTGGTTGTCGGGATGCCATTTTGGGGTAGGTGAATTCACCACCCATTTTAGAACCTATTTTAGTGGGGATTGGGATGTTCTCTGGGGGTGCGGGATTTTGACCCATGGCCAAGTGATTGCCCCAAAAATCGTGAGGTATGGTTTTCTTTTTTGTTGCGATTTTGAGGCTACAGGTTGACTCAAATGGGTTCCCCTGGGATTCAGGCAGGCCAGATTTCGGACAGAGGCTCGGTTTATGGATTTCGCCACCAAAACGTTTACCCGTCAGGATGTCATCCCAAAATTGGGTCCCCTTTGGCCATTCTTTGAATGCAGGCTGAACTCTAGGGATTTGTTATTGCCCCAAAATACTGGCTGCTATGTCCAATCTTTCCAGAAGGGTATGATTTTGAGGGTACAGGCTCACTCAACCGGTTCTATCATGGTAAAACTTGGAGCCTAGTATCAACTAAACCAGGTACCAGAAGGGGAAGGGGTTTGGACAAACAAACAAGCGGGCATACGGGGGGAGCGGGGATATGGGGGGGATTCCCTTGGCGCCATTTCCCATCTCAAACTTAGTCAAGGTGCATGTAAGGGGAATCCTCCCGTATCCCTGGTTCCCCCTGTATCCCTGCCAGTTGGTTTCCCTGAGGGGTGTGGCTTGAAAAAAGAAATGGTTGTCCTCTGGGTGTCCTTTCAGTCGCTTCATCTGTGGCTCACCTCTCAGAGACATCTCTTCACGGCCGTGCCGCTGCGGCAAGGTCCGACTAGCTTAAAACAGCGACTTGGCCAACCTTGATTTAGGGGAGACACCCAGTTTGATGCATCGGTATGAGTCGGTATGAGGCTCCATGTACTTAAAGCGAAGTCACCCACATTTTTTTGGGGGGGGGTGAATCCCCCTTTTCTTTGATGGGTAGGTCCAGAGGTCCAAATATCCTGGATGAGTCTGGCAAACAGGTTTTGGCACGCGCTAGTTCTTGCTGGTCCATGTAGCCCTTTTCCCCAGGTGACTCTCATGGTTTTCCAAGAAAGAAGGATCCCGGAAAAGAATGCAGGACAAATACCGCCAGAAAATATGGGTGCTGTTTTTCTAACTCTTTGCTTGGATGTTCTTTCTGACGGAACACCCTTTTTGTAGTTTTAAAGGAGAACCAAATGTCAAAGCACTTATTTTATTTTGGGGAGGGGTTCCAACCCAAAAAAGACGGACTACCCTTCCTCCCACGAACAGAAGGCAGGTGTGGGAGGGTGCCTGAAATAGTGGGAGGGAGGGTAAGATAATTCTTCGTCCCCCCTCCCCCCGCGCCCAAAAAACAAATCCAAAGGTCCAACCAAATAGCGTTGTAGGTAACCCATGGACCCTTAGGGTGTGTGCTAATCGCAAACATGGAAGCTCAACAGGAAAAAAAACAACAAACCACGTACGGGCCACATGCCTTTATACATGTGCACACTTGTATATTTTTATGCTTGTCAAGGGCCCCATTAAGGCCTATATTCGGGATTCATAGGCTTGCTTCTTCTTTTTTTGGGGGGGGGCCAGTGCCAAGCATGGGATATCAGAGCAGTATAATTTGACCCATGTTATAGTGCGCAAGGATTCCCGTCCAAGCGCATTCCGAAAATGTGCTTTGGACAAACCCAGAAATTACGAAGATTTGGGAGAGCTCAAAGCCTCCAACCCACCTGGACCCTCAAAGTACTCACAAACAAGGGGATGTCACCAACCATAAGTTTGCGGCAAGCGATTTTAAAGGGACTTTTGAGGGTGCAGGTACCCTGCAAATCCCACAGGAAGTGGGCTTTGGAAAGGGCATTTTTAGCAGCTTGCCCACCGCTTCCTCTAAGGTCCGAAGGTTCGTGGGTTCCAATCGGGAAAGGGCATTTTTTGTCCACAGGGGTCTTTTCAGGCTATTATTCCCCAAACCCCAACCCCACCTGAACCACCCCTCATGCATTTAAGGCCCATTTTCCGGCCAGTTCCAAAGCCCAACCCCCCCACGCCCTCAACCCCCCGAATTGCCACCCCCCTACCCCCGGTTTTGGTGGGAAGGCTTGTCCGAAAGAGTCATGATCGGATTGGACCCAATTGGAGGCCCGTGGAGCGCCTTCGGGTAGAACTTGTCTAAAATTTGACCCTTGAAAGATTGGGTCACCCCAAAACTCCAGCTCATTGCCTAGGTCCTCCAGAGAGGTTAGAAGAAGGGTACCAACTTTCCAACTTTTTTTTCTGTTGTCTATTTTACCGGAAAGGAAGGAGACTCTAGGAACATTCGTGCACTCGTTTCCTTTGATTTCACGGTTGCGGGCCCCGCATTTCCCCGCACGGCAAGCCCCCCGCCTGGCGTTCCTGGCCCGCCCGGCATGGCGGAAGGCAAAGAAAGAGTCTCGCAGGGGCCAGCGGTTTGACCGCAGACCCCGGGAAAATGTATGGATGAATTTGGCGGAACTACGTCTGCTGCGGTCTGAGCCACAAGCTGCGCGAAAACGCAACCAATTCGTCTCTCCCATTCGACCCGGACACAAAGAAAAGTTGGTCGTTGGTAAAGGAAAGCCAGAGGAAGCACCTTTTGTCAGCGGCAAATCTGTGGCTCCACCCCTCTAGGATATTCAAAGAGTACTAAAAGACATACTAAAGAAGGATCAGGGGAAGAACATTTCGAATCAAAAAGCTGCCTGCGGCCTGTTGCTCCAAATTGTGGGGTCCGATGTTTATGGGTAGTTTGAAGGTCTAGGTGCTCCTCTTCAACTTCAGACGTTCCTCCAAAAGCAACGTCATTTGGGGAGGGGTTGGCAACTGGATTTTTCATTTCAGCGCCCTTCAAGCCAAAAGCAGCGCTTTGGTTTCAGCTGAGCACACGGAAGTCTAGACGAGACAGCGGTGTGGATGCATCCAAAGCTTTTTCTGGATTCAGGCTTGGGAGTCCTGATCTTGGTTGCTGCAACGACCCCCCTGCAAAAAGTTCTTCACTTTTTGGGGGTTTCGTGGAACACCCAACTTGACTTCAACCAAAAAGTTGAAGTCCAAAGATCCGTTGTCCCATAGCAGTCAAGTGACTTTGGGGCAACCCTCTTGGCATTTCACCCCAAGGAACCCCAAAGAACGGGCCCCAGGAACTCCCATAGTCCAAACCAACACCACGCTGGGGTTCCCAAAGCCAGTCGATGATGCTGAGCCGATATGGGGTAGCTTCCATGTCCAGTCTTTCCAGGATTCCGAAAAAAAATCAAGAAAACCACCAAACACCCTGGGGAGAAGGAAAACCGGTTTTTGACCAGACCGATGGCCTTCCCCAATTTCAATTTCAATTTCACCCCCAAAGATACGCCTTCCCGGAACCGGGAACCTCGCAACATTCGGCCGAGTCGGGAAAAGGGCCAACACCACCTGGCTGGGAACCTGGGTGAACCCCGCTGAGGTGAAGGGAGCCCAGCCGAAAGCAGAAAACTACCGAAGACTTTGCAGTGGATGGAATACCTGGAGTCTCCTTCTGACCCTTAAACAATGGTTGGTCATTGCCCTAAATAATGATTCGGGTCATGGACCCATTTTTCTTTCGGGTGAGAAGGAGACTCCAGGTGCCTTTTCTCCATTGGGCTCCAAGCCCCAGCCCCCCCGGGTCCCGCGTTCTCAGGCAGAGTCCCGCACCGACTCACATGCGGCCTGGCTGGCCGCAAAACGTTCCTCTAAAAATTGTTTCCTTGTCCATTCTGTTCCTCAGTTGGTCAGTGACCCTGGAAAAAAAAGGGAACCCTTTGTGGGGCTTGGACCATTTTTAGTGGGGCCACCAAAAAAAAAGGAAAAAGAACTGGTGCCACTCAACAACTGAGGGGTTGATTCCTTGTCCATTCTTTTCAGCCATCGCTCGTTTCTCAAAAGCCAGATCCGTTTCCCCCTGACTTTTGGTGGTTTCTAGAAAGATTCGGATCCCGGAAAGAATTCCGCTCATTTGGCCATGCGGTATGTATCAAAAGAGGGGAGGTGGGAAGTCCGGGACAGAGGTTCCAGTGATCTAGCCTTCCCCAGAAACGGGAACATGGAAACACTCCCCTCCCCCAATTCCATTTGTAAGGTCGGGAGGTTGACTTTCCTTGTGCCTTGAAAATCACCCCAAAAGAGTAACTCAACAGAAACAACCACACGCACACACCACACAACCCCACAGACAGACAGACAGTCAGACAAACAGGCAAACAGACAAACAAACGGGAAAGCCTGGGTGCTCCATATTGCGACTCACCCACCTTTCCCCACCTTGATCCTTGGCATGTAGCCCATTCAAATGACCTGAACCACCAAAAACTAAGACATGCCAAGCACAGTGAAGGGGTCTGTCTTTAAAAGGGGACCCTCAAAATGGAGTTCGGTTGTCCTGTTGGTTTCCCGTTTAACCCACCAAACAAAGGGCCCCTAAAAAAGACCCACGCACATGGAATTTGTGAGTTCCCTAGTAGTTGGATAGTCAGTCCATGTCCCTCCCCAATGGACCAACTACTCGTAATTTGGATAGAACCTGTAGTGAAGTCAGGGTACCCCTGTAACCAGACAATACCAGCCTTTTTCACTTGGTATGATGTAAACCCTCTACTAAAAAAAAGATCGTTGTATTTACCCTAAGGGAAAACTCGAGGTTTCAACTAAACATACCCACTAAAACAAGGTCGGGTACAGTATTTGGAGTAGAGGAAGCTGGACCCTGAGACTGACCTTAACTCATGGACTTCGGATGTCCTTCATTTCCGCTTAGCAAGTTGTCCAACAAATGCCAGCAAAAAAAGTCCTCGGAGATGACCTTTTGGGCTCCTGAAGGTGAGCCTCCTTTGGTAGTCTGGATTGGCCGACCGATATGCCAAGGTCTTGGGTCTTTGTGCATTGCGCAGAGGACCCTGCCTGGAGTCTCCATGACCCTTGAAAAATGGTTGCCAAAATAATGATTCGGGTCATTGACCCATTTTTATTTCGGGTCAGAAGGAGACTCCAGGTGGCTGCACTGCTCAAGAAGCTTGGGTCTCAAGGCATTCGGGGGGGCGGAAGTGTCCCACCGGTCCAACTCAGGGCTCAAACCACAGTTTTTTTCTGCGTGCCTCGCGCGTCCCTGGCGTCCGTACGCCTCAGTGAGGAACCCATACCGAAATCGAAAGGACCCGACCGACCCTCACAAGCTCCTCCAACAGGGGCTGTTGCCCCCCATGTTTTTTGGTTGGTGTTGGTGAAATCCCATTTTCATGGGTGCTTTGAGGGTCCAAAGCCACAAGTGTGTTGGCTCCAAATGCCAAGTTGGCCACATATCCGTATGATGAGCTCTTCCCGACTGGCTTGGCGAAAAGCAATCCTGAACTTTATGCTTACCTGGACCCTCAAAATACCCATCAAGAAGGTTTGGTGCCCATATGGCCATGGGTCAAAAGCCCGTACCCCCAGTGAACATCCCAATCCCCACCAACATAGACGAAAATGGGTAGTGCACCTACCCCAAAATGGTACCATTGGTTTTGACCCACAGCCATATGTTTGAGTGATCTCCCCTTTTTATGGATAGTTTGAGGGTCCAGGCACAAGAAGTTTGAAGTCCGGGGAGTGAAGCTTTCTGGTTGGTGTTTGTTCATTGCTGCTTGGTTGACGTTGGAGGGTGAGCAAAATAATAATAATAATAATAATAATATCAGTTAAGTGGGGATTTCAACCACTAAACCACAATAACCAAAAGTGTAAAATGTTTCCCAACAACAACCATGTCTGGTTGGTGTTTGTTCATTGCTTGGGTTGAATACAGCTTGCCATAGACCATGGGAGGTTGAAGCGTGGGCCACGGACTCTTTCTTCTTCTTTTTGTTTCAGGAGTCCGACGTGGATCCGAATGAATCGAACCCCTGGATATGGAAAGAGAACTAACTCAGCAAAGAAAACGGGGAGACGAGGCAAAATCCACAAGAGCGCACATCCAAAAAACGTTTTCGAGATTCAACCCCAAATAAGAGGTCATATACTCAATCAGCGGATCCATTTGCCTGGTTACGCTGGGTAGTCAAAGGAACCACCTACTTGCTATAGTGTTGTTGGCACGCCCGGCATCCACCGCAATCCGTCTTTCTGGGTGAATTTTAATATTTCACCAGCCTGAAACTTGCGGTGGTTCAGGGGCTATTTCCCACATATTCCCCACCATTTGGGGTGAATTCGGTCGTGTGAGGTCGTTATAATTCACCCAGATCTTTTAAGGGTCAGAAGGAGAGTCCGGGCAGAAGGTTCTAAACCCACCGGCCCGCAAAGCTAAGCCTCCCGCACGGGCGCCATGTGAACGCCTGAAGCTGACGCTGCCCCATCATGTTTTTTTGCATGGTGCATTCCCAGACTGACCAAACGATCTTCCCCACTGTCGTACTGCTCCAAATGCTCTGTCTTAAGGGAGATACCCTGAGGAATTCACAGCATAGCTTTAGGCCCCTACTCCAAACAGCCATGGCATGTTTCGGAAAACTTGATTTTCCAGGGTAAATACCATGTTTCGAGAAAAGGGTTGACATACCCTGGAAGAAGAACAAAAAGCGGGCATCGTGAGGGGGAAGAGTGAAGGAGATGATTGCTCAGCGCAAATGGGACCTGGCGCTTGCCCGAAAATTTGTGTACCTGGATCCTGAAACCCATTGGGGCAATCACATATTGGCCATGAATGTTAACAAGGTCCCCTCCAGTAGAGAGGCTAGAATAAGGGTACCAACTTTTTGCTGTAGTCTATTTTAGTGGGGGAACCCTCCCAACCAAAAAGAAACGGTGAGAAAGTGCACTGGGGGACCCAGCTAATTAGGGATTTTGCTGGCGGACGTCATGACAAAGTGGGGTTTTATGTCTATTAGCCTCTTCCCAGGGGGCTCCGTATTTTTCCAGCCCAGAGGGTCCTAAGTACCCCATAATTACGGCTTTGAAAATTGGTTCAAGGGGATTCGTCAATTACAGATTCTCCAAATCCTCAATTATGAGGTCCGTGGACCCTCTCGACAGAGTAGTTTGAGGGTCCAGGTACCCTGAACCAGGAATTATGCCATTGTTGCTTTGGGAGCTGGTCAATTGAAATTCAGATGCGACATCGTGAACATCTATATAAGTTGCTCAGTGACCCTGGAAACACAAGGGCGCCCCTTGTGGGGCTTGGACCATTTTTAGCGGGGCAGCCACCAAAAAACAAGGGGAAAAAGGGCGCCACTGAAAAAACGGAGGACATGGCCATCTACGGGTGAAAAAGCTGTTGCTGTCGCTCTGGGCGCGACTCTTGTGAACTGTTGCAACCGGTCATGCTGTGGTGAGCTCAGGCAGAAAACGAGCTCTGGGTGAATCATAATATTTCACCAACCTGAAATAAGGTGGTTCAGGGGCTATTCCCCACATATTCCCCACCATTTGGGGTGAATTCGGTCGTGTGAGGTCGTTATAATTTACCCAGAGCTCATCCATGAAGGATCCTTTTTCAGGTTGCTGAACGA